TATCATTGCAAATCTTCAAAATTGCTAAAGTACTTACTTATTGCAAGTTTTTGAACGAAATAAATTAATGTTTTGAAAACAGCAAAAACCCGGATCCCACGGCAGAACACAATGTCGGTACATGATTACACTGGATTGTGTACGAAGGACGTATTGTGCAAATGATAATAAATGCAAACTTTTATTGTCTCTAAATTAATAATGTATATATTTATGTACAGTTCACATTTTAAATAATATTTAATAATTATTATTCGGTTTATGGAGGAATATTTTTCGTTCGTTACGTTCTTTACGTTTACGTTTATTTTATTTTTTTATTTTTTTTTTATTTGTACTTTCTTTAAACCAAAATAGTTTTGATTTTAAGAACGATAACTGTCACTATGTTCTTTGTGATAATCTGTACTGATAAATGATTTTCGTAATGGTTCAAAGATATATATTAAAAATATAATATATATAGGCTTTATTTATATTAATCTCTTGATATTCACGTTGTGACTACCTCTAGATGAAAAATTATCAAAACTATTCGATTATTTTGATAGGATATATAATAGACATATTATTTTTAGATACGTTAATTATTACGTCCCATTGTATTTCAACAAGGTTAAGGTTGTATTTCGTAATTAGACCCAAGCTACGGTAGCAATTACAATGAAGCGCGTTGATGTCTTATATATGGACGGCGTTTTTATTTAAAAAAATCATATAAAACTTATTTATAGCTTACTCTATATATATATTTAGTATATTATTCAGTTCCTTTCGTCTTATAATAATACACAGTCGCTTTTGTATGTAGCAATGAACGATTATCAAATATTGCAAAAGCCTTTTGGATCGTGCCAACGTGTGTATTATAATTGAATTTAGAGTCGATTGAAGCCCTGGTAAAAGGTAGCATTGATTTGTACAGACTTAAGACCCTCTTATATATATACATATATTTATATATGTGTGTGTGTGTGTGTGTGTGTGTGTGTGTGTGTGTGTGTGTGTGTGTGTGTGTGTTGTTAGGGGACCATGAACCATTTAATTATGCCAACATTACATCAATGCAGTCCAAACTATCGAAATGCTAATTAAGTAACTTCAAACTAGATTGTTTTGCAATTTTTTGCAAGCCGAAAACCAAAAACACTATCTAATTTAAATAATGCATGTAATTACAAAACTATATTTATCAGATTAAGAATAAGTTTTGCGTAATATGTATGAGTTATCAAATATAAAGCGTTATCTATGGTTTATAAACTTGTATAAAAAAATATTAAGAGGACAGATAAAAAATTATAAATTGATGAATAAAACTAAAAAAAAATAAGAGCAAATTTACTCTATGGTTTTGTTTTTAAATGTCATATAAAAATTTAATTCTTATAAAAATAAAAAACAGTATAATTAAAGCAAAAATTAGATCATTCATTACGTATTAATAAATTCGGTAGGTAAAAAAAATCGCTTCAATATATATATTTATCGTTCTCGTATTAGTTGATTCCAATCAATTACGTCATCATAGGGTGAAAACCCTTGATCATTTAAATGTCAAACATAAATAACACACCTCAACCGTGTTCTGTAGTAAATTGTGGACTGATTAATATGTATCATAAAAACATTAAAACTATTATTATTGATTACATCATCAACAACAAACGGTGTCCTTTAATTAATCTAGAATATTTCAAACATTTTAGATATAATTAATGCTTTTCCCGCGCTAATTTATGTTGGTACGAGTATTCAAATTTGACATTTCAAATGTCAATTACGTGGACAGTAACAAAAAAGTTTCATTATGTTATGAAGACGCAACTCCTGGATAAATATGTTAAGTTAAATCATGTATAGAATAGTAATGGCTACTGAGCTTTCGCGTTGTCATATAGTAGAATACCAATGACAGATTACAAAGACTGTTGTAATTGACAAGGCTGTTTCTGTTTTGATATTACGTAAAGATGTCAAATATATTTTTTATGAATGAATATTGAGACTATTTAATACTTTACCAGACCGCTTTGAAGTCAAAAGAGATAAAATTTTTGGTTCAACTGAAGCAGTTTTGAATTTGAATAGGTTAAATATCATTACGACTATACATTGCAATGATTGTGGGAGTCGTATTGTGTTTATAAAAAAAAAACAATTAATTAAAAGTAAAGTCGTAAAAAGAAGATAAAACATAATTAGCATTTCATAAAAGGACTAAACATTCATTATAGTTGCTAATAGAGTTTTAAATTACTTGTTATCTAGTTTATCTGATTCAAAAAAGGTCTAAGTTTTTTATAGTACAAGCTACATTCTGTCACAAATATATTTGTTAGTTATTCAGCCGTGAAATAATTCAAATGATTAGTAAGTGATTCTTGTGAAGCGTATCCTTTCAATTCTCTGTTCCACAAAACATCTCACGACATCGTGAACACAACAACTGATGGACCGCCGTCGATTGCAAAACTTTGTGGTAGCACCTCGCACTAAATTTGCGATTGGTTGAATCTGTACTATCATAATGTTTGAGCGGGTTTCTTGCTAGTTTATCATGCTCTAAAAAGGCTTTGCTTTTGCTAAGATTATACTTAATTAAACGCATAAAAAAAAATATAAAGATTACATTCAAAGGTCAGCTTATCGTATAAGGTTTTATTCCAGGATGTATAGGAAATAATGGTCTATCAGTTCCTATTTCGTTTATGGTCATTCATCTTGTACTGTATGTTAATACATTAATTTATTACATGTGGCAACATTGTTTTAATTCACATGAATATTCAAATCGACGCTTGCATGTATGTATAATATATTTGTTTACATGTCAATGTCATCATTGACAGTTGTGATTTTTATATTCGACCCAGAAAATTGATTACGTGTAACCCTGAAAGCTCACGATGCTCCCTCACGTCTTATCGTGATGAGACTCCATATTGGTGCCGTGTAATTATTCGCTTACAATTATTACATCAGTTAAAAGCGGTAAAACGTGTCAAGGTTGGAATTACTGTACACATTAGATGACTTCTCTGCATAACGACAGCCACCTGCTTCCGGGTAATCACACACTCAACTTTTATACTTAATGTGACTGTATAAAGATTAGATTAGCATAAACTATGTTGTGTACATATATCTACCAACTGGTTTACTCATCGACGGTTTTAGACGTTAATAAGATCCTTACATCAATTCCTTTAAATGTTTTGATTCTAAGTAAACGTTGCTCAACGTTTGACTCAAATAGTGCGATTGTTGAAGAATAAGACAAAAAGATTTTACTAGCGTCTCCATTGTCGCTGTGACACGGTTTTACGTTTAACGCTTGTTTATAAATTAGGTCGATGTATTTCGTGTATTGTTGCCGGCTGTCCGGACCGATCGTTATGTAATACACACGACCGCGGCGCCGCCTGATCAATGTCCAGACAGACGTGATCACATACCGCTCCTTGAAGCTCAATCAGATGAAAAACAATCATATATATGTATATAGATATAATTTACACAAACACATGTTCGAACAGAATCGAATACTTTGGACAAAATTACCTAACGCATTTCTAGGCGTTAACTTTATGTATTAAGAGTTTAAAAAAAAAAATAGAAAAATATATTTTGGACTTAAACAGCGACAGGGAACTAAAATACTCGTAAATATAAACATGCAAAGCATGCCAAGCCTTTTTTTCGACGCTTTCTTAAGTTTTACTTATTACGTAAGCTGATAATGAGACATTTACAGTACAAAATTTAAATGTAGCCCTTTACTGTAGGTACTTTTATATAATAAGCTATTATTTAAGGTAAGGTAAGTTAGGTATTTACCTAACATCGGAACAGAAATCTGTAACTAAATATGATGCTTGATTATTATATTCGTATCCACACCTACATGTTATAGCAAATATATTAACTATTTCATAAGACGGTCACATATTGCTAACACATCTCTGACCGCCAAAAAAGATGCTCATTTTGTGCAATGCTGCAGTAAACTTGAAAATATATCGATGACGAAATATTATTGTGCTTATCATGTTACTTTTTAACCTGATTTGATTGTGTAATATATTAAAATACCTTAATCTAATTACGCTGGCAGCACGGACTCGCCTATATGGTGACCATTTGCGTAACCGATGTCTCACTAACGATAAATAATCAATATTGCGAAATGTTTTTGGGGTTGAGACTTGAGTCATTTATCAATATGATTATCTTTTACTCATTACTCTTGTATCTTGGACGGGCATATTAAAATGCTATTAACCTCATACCTATACCTATTGGTATAAGGCTGCGTATACACGAAAGACCTTCAAAATCATGCGACGTCTGACTTGTAATCCCTAGAGATTTTTTTATGTATTTCTTAAACTTAATCAACCCCATAGCACACAATCATGACTAGGTATATGGTTAATTTTTTGATAATAATTAGACTTTGGAAAGTTACAGCGAATTAATATAATAGTCATGTTTCTTTCACTATTATATTTTAGATATTTTTTTTTGTCAATACATACGAACGGAAGCCATTATCAGTTGTCCGAGTGAAACTTATTTGACTTGTACTTTCATTTGTATGTGTGGAACAAATTATTGTATTGATTAAGTATCTAAATAACTTCATTCTTAAAGAGATCTCTTAATATGGTTATAGTTAAATGAAACCCATTTAAATATATATTTTAATATAACATTTCTACACTTGAAGTTAGTAAGAATCGGTTATCCCTAGCCCTACTAATATTATAAATGCGAAAGTAAATCTGTCTGTCTGTCTGTTACGCTTTCACGCCTAAACCACTGAACTGATTTTAATGAAATTTGGTACAGAGATAGAGTTGACCTTGATAAAGAACATAGGATAGTTTTTATCCCAGACTTTTGAAAGGTTCTCTTGGAAACGCGATATAACCGAAGTCTACCCGGGCGAAGCGGGGTAAACTATGAGCTATATTAAAATATTTGTTTATTTCTAGATGCAAGCGTGGTTGGTAGCAGCCTGCGCTGTAATGCTTGCGGCGTTGGCAGCCGCTCAGAAACCTGGCAGGTTCCTCTCATTACCGGTGCCACAGAAATGCGCAAATCGTGAGTTATACATATATAGTTTATTGAATCCTTTCTATATTATTTCGTCATGATAAAATTATCAATGATTAGGATGAACAAATGCTGTGAATATATGTAGATAGACACATGTTTATTCGATCTCTATGTATAATATATACGAGTGCATATTTTTCTTTTTTTTTATTAGTGGTAGTTTTTTTGTATTATGTCAATAGTCTTGTGCCAATCGTAATAAAGAAAACTGTACTGATTTCCGTACATCATTTGCTTTCACGTATTGAAGTTGGATGTGAAGAAATTTATTTAATGTTCTTCTTATATTCCTAAATAAAAGTCTACACACATGTTCGGCGGTTTCACGATTTATAAGTTAAGAACTTTGATTTAAAATAAATAGTTATGTTTAATCGATTAGTATTTCGAATTAAATAAAAATATTAAATTCTTTGATCGTCTTAGACTCGTCTTTAATGTTATTAATCGCTTGACCTTTTAGAAAAATATAATAAAACAGAGATTCTAATTGACGGAGCCTAATTGAAGAAATAACTACACATGAAATAATATTCACCTTGACCTCTGATACGTAACCTTAAAAGGTCACGTGGACTGTTTGATGAGGCCAATTTGGTAACACAGCCAAATATTTTTCCTCATACAAAAATTTCAAGAACAGAACATAACGGAGATACCAGTGTTAGACAAACTCAAACATTGGAAACGCGTTAAACATTTGGTAATGAAATTTTTGAAATTAACATTAAACGAAGCATACTTTCTAATAAAAGTAAAAGCTGGAGGTCGATGACCCCTCAAGGCTGGGAACCCTCGTTTAGATCTCGCACGTGCCGAGCCCCGGAAAACGATTTTCCCTATCTTAGGTATACCTACGTTTTGTATTTTGTTGCTGGGAATCGGGCTTAGCGAGCTCAGATAACAGTAGCTACTACAGAAAAAAAACACAAAATTGTATAACCAATTGATGTTTCACCAGGTTTTGTAGCATTTCAAATATGTGCTTTATAAATTATTCATAATCTCCATTATATAATATGGGCAGTTAAACTAAAGTATGTGTAAAACACCGTAAAGTTAAACTCACAATGACTTAACTGATGCTTTAGTAGGTGAACTGTTCCGTAATAGAAAGATTTAAATAAATGTACCCACAGTAACAGGTTCAAATATGATTTCGTCATCGAGACAAGTTTCAAGTTTATAGTTACAAACGTGTTTAATTTATTCATATTGAGATTATTTAAAGAAAGTAATATAGAATACTAGCTTTCCGCCCGCAGCTTCGCCCGCGTGGAGTTCGGTTATATCGCGTTTCCAAGAGAACCTTTCAAAAGTCTGGGATAAAAACTATCCTATGTTCTTTCTCAAGGTCAACTATATGTCTGTACTAAATTTCATTAAAATCATTTCAGTGGTTTAGGAGTGAAAGCGTTACAGACAGACAGTTACTTTCGCATTTATAATATTAGTAGGGATAACATTTATTACATGCTAAGCTCTTTTTAATTTTGCTTTTCTTAAATTAAAGATTATAAGAGTGTTAAAAGAATTAGAAATCCAAAATTATATTCCATACAAAATACGGATGAACTTGTGAGTCTGTTTGTTTTCTACATTATGATTGTTTAGTATGTTGATAATTCAAAAACACACATAGGTGCCGCTTTCCCGGGCAAGGTTAAGCTTCGTTCATATAAATATTTGTTTAATGACCACAAACATAAATTACCTCTTAATTTTTATTACGTATTTGGGACTCTTAAAATCTTTTAGAGATGAAACAATAACTATTGCGATTTAAATTTTGTAATTTTCTTATAGTTCATCTGATAAAATAAAATTGATATTTGCAAGCCTAAAGTACATATATTCACTGGAAGCTTCCAAAACGATTCAGGTTAATACTGTTAACACTAAAAATATTTTCCTTCACCTACGCTTTGAAATTTTCTTCTCAGTGAATCATGTATTTTATATACCTAAAAGAGAAGACTTTATTTTGGTTAAAACTTCACAATAAGTATTTATAGGATTTTTGTTTCTGAGTATTTATTCAACATTAATTGCAGACGCTTCATAGAACAATTAATTTTTATTTCTCAAGTTGTCTTCTAATGTAAACTTAATATTATTATGTTACATATACCCTACGTTGATACTTAAAACCACAATAAGAAATTTCTTAATATTTATTACCTAAGTCGTAATGGGAAAACGAAATAATTGTGTCTGAAACAATAAGTATAACAATATGGTATAAAAAAATTGTCATTTTGATAGTAAAATACCTAATGTATTCTGTAACTATGCATATGAGTTTTATCATTTATATATTACAATTCATGTGAACGACCCTTTAGTTGCATTTTGATTAAAATATACACAAAGCTTTATTATATTTAACATACAAACTGGACGTGACAATTTATTACAGAAAGTTATTTTCAATTGGCAGGTAATATTAACATAATTTAACATAATATTAAGACTTGTTTGGGTCTCTGTTGGAAATATGTATTACCACTATAATTAAGTCAGTCATAATGAAACTAAATGTTTTAGACTGTTTTTAAGTAAGCTCTATAATAAGTCCAAGGTTGAAAGATTTTGGATGCTTCATACAATACTTTGTATTTTCCATTAATTTTTAAATCTATAAACGTTTATTATTAATTAAGGAGTCAGACAAAATCACGAAACTAAAGATGTTGCAATTCAGCCTTCTTACAAACACAACCTTCTAATTCTGCCATTCATTGTAAAAACTCATATTGTTTCAAGCTAAGTTTTAATACGCTATTAAATGTTTTAAGATGAATAGAGTCTTGATAGCATGTAATCATAATTTAACGTTGACAGACATTTAAGACGTCAAGGCGTTGGGCCATACAATGTAATGATAGCCTTTTTTTCTATGATTAAGAAACAATGTTAGGTAATTATTTAACATTATATCATTATTATTGCAATGTTAATTTATTGATAGACAAATAGCACGCACGTTATTATAGTCGTGTTTAATAGACAGCGTCATTTGGTGTCGTTTCAACTCTCAGTTGTTCTGTCTATTGTCCGTTTATCTCACCATCGTCAATATGTTTGGTTGTCAGCGCGCAAGGTCTCATTCGCTGTTTGTTCGTCGTGCGAAATTTTAGCGCATTCAACTCCGTAATTGCATCTCATTATGTACGTTTTTGCTATTGTTGCGTCCATGAATGTGTTTCTAAAGGTTGAATTAATTGAGTGAAAGTAATCCGATTTGGATGTATAGGTGAATTTATTTAGTTGGTGCGATGACCTCACGAGATGTTATTGTATAAGTAGCCAATTAGATACATCAAATATTCTGTTTACATATTATATAAAAATGTCCGTAGGTACGCATTCCTTGGCCTACTTACTTCTTACCGCGTGACAAGCGCGTCTGTTCGACTAGGTCATCAGACGGTATCTACTACACTGCCAATAATCTCTTGGAACGATAATAAATGAACATGATATTAAAATAGTTTTTGAATCTACTAGATAAAAAACATTGATTTTTTTCATAGATATCTTTGAGATTTGATTTTGCAATGATTATACGATGTATTCTGTTGTCTGTCTAACGAGTGAGGTTTGGTTGGTGGTAAAGGTCGTTGTGCTTTGTATATTAGGAACCTTTAATGTCCAATGTATTCAGTTCTAGTCAACGTCATGACCGTGGATCGATGATGTTTTATTGCATTAGATTCATCCTTCATATCAAATACTATTACTTCATCACTTTCTAAATAAATCCAATTAATTCTTAGTCATAATTATTACAAATTAGTATTTTGTTTATTGACAAATACAACATAAATAATATGACAAACCCTACTCCCAAAGAGGGTTGATGTCAGGCAGGCGGCCGGTCGAAAAAACAAATAGCCAAAACTATTCACAACAAGTAAAGCAGACCCTGGCTGTAGCTCGGAAATTGCCAGGTAGAAGAAGAATATGACAAAACCTCTTATTAACAATAAAAACTAAGAAAATACTTTGATTTAAGAATAATATTATATTTATATTATCTTTGCAGGACCAAAAGAATTCTTCTATCGTGGCCACAACTATTTCTACAGCGGTCACGTTCCTGAACTAGCTAACAGGAAAGTTGACTGGCTGGACGGACGCAACATCTGCCGAGAATACTGCATGGATCTCGTGTCCATGGAAACACAAGAGGAAAATAATCTAATCTTCAAGCTCATCCAACAAGGTAAATAACTAATTATTACATTGTTAATCACATTGTTACTTGTAACTTATGTATATTGTTTATGTTACAATTTATATGGTAATAATAATTATAAAATGAGTTTGAGTTTTTAATTAACATTATTTAAAAAATATGCACATATTATATTTAACGTGAGAATTAATAGCAACACGTGATAATACCTTGAACGAACACTAGATGTCACTTTTAAGAAATAAAATAAGTAAATGTAATATTTTATTTTTTACCACATATTATGAAGATGTAAGTATATTTAGGAATAAAGGTTATTATTAAATACAAATATTTTAATTTTCCACAGGTGATGTACCTTACATCTGGACTTCTGGTCGTCTCTGCGACTTCAAGGGTTGCGAATCCCGCAAAGATTTAGAACCTAAAAACCTGCTTGGATGGTTCTGGTCCGCTAACCGTGAAAAGATTAGTCCCACCAACCAGGTACATACACTAGGACATTATATCATTTTCTTTACTTTTTTTTACATTACTTTCGTTGAGAAATTGCATATATCATTTTCATAACAGAGATAGCTTTATGCACGTATAGGTTTAATTCTATCTTTATAGTATATATATAATTCTTCTGTGAGTGTGTATGTCACTGAACTTATCTCAAACGATTGGACCGATTTTTATGAAATCATTTGTTTGTGTTCAAGGGGATCTGGGAATGGTTTAGATTCAAAATTTATTAGTAGTCGTTGATACAAACGTTTTTTTTTGACATTAGATTTGACAACTAACTAATATGTCAATCATTCTGTCGCACTTCAAAACACGGAGATTTATGGCTTTAATAGGTAAACCCCAAAAATATAAATAAAAAAACTTAACAGATATTTCTTGACTTTAGGGCGATACGAAGTTCGCTGGGTCTTCTAGTATTTAAATATAGAATTGATATTCAAAAATATCTTCTTATAGATTCCCAACGGCTGGGGCTACAACCCTTGGTCACAAACCGGTCACAAGAAGCAACGTCAGCCAGACAATGCGGAATTCGACATCAACGGTACATCAGAATCTTGTCTCAGCATCTTGAACAATGTATACAATGACGGTATCGCATGGCACGACGTCGCTTGCTACCACGAGAAACCCATCGTCTGTGAAGACTCTGACGAACTCCTCAACTACGTAGCCAGCACCAACCCCGGCATCCGTCTGTGATTATCATAATTTAAAACTATATAAGTAATCTACGACAATTAGTTCTTAATACAAACATAACATAAAAACAGATTTTACTTATTGATTTATAATATTTTAAATTTTTGTTTCCGATATCTGACTTGTGACCGGTCCCAATTTTCGATCTCTCAAACATACTGCCTTGAACGTACAGCTATGTACAGTGTAGCCATAAGTTTATATAAGTTTAACTAAGATTATTCACATAAGTGACGAATTTCTATTTGTATATAAAAATAAAATGTCACAAAAATATATATATTTTTTATTTTGTATATGAAATAACAAAAAAAGAAAACTTAAATAACATTTTTGTCATGATTACATACTTTCTAAATATTTTTTAATCAATGTAGACAATATTGGAGCTATGAAAACATTAGGTCTTAAAGTGGAAATAACAGAAACAAAACAAAATACAAAAACAAAAAAAATATCAAGAAAAAGAAATAATTTATTCACAAAGGACTGTCAAGTAGCTACAGCTTATACAAATTCGATGCTCTATTTGATATTCCTCTTCCAATAGACTTCAGATCATAATCCTTATACCGTTCACAAATATTCAAATCTCTGGCCTTGTTTATTAAAATTGTCAAAACATTATGCTCGATGCCATTTAAAATTATATATCTATTGGCATACTTCTGAATATCTTCATGTGTTATTTTATATTTACTTTTATCTTTTTCTGGTTTTGTAAAATCTATCAAAGTACTTGTGTCATCCAAAACGGACTGATTGTTCAAAGTACTACCTGCTTTTTGGTTTTCTATGATATCAAGATAGTTTTCAAGACTTGACTGCAATGTCATAAGCGGTAACTCAAATGTTATATTTGGCTTCAACTTACAAGCATGATGAATATTATGAGTAACATAAAAGTTAGAAAGATCTGAAAAAGACGATATTAACTTAAATTATTAAGTATTTAAGAATTATTTATCTATATGAATTTTATGTAAGGAAATAATAGAAAAGTAAACCAACTAGCAACATAACATTCTATATTTTTTTCCAAAAATTTAGGCCATGCATCCAGCTCATCAGTTAAATTGACACTTCCCTTATCAGGTATATCCAAATATAGATTTCCAATCACCTGCAATAACATTAGTACCATACTAAGCTTTGTAAATGTATTTTCCAAAGAAAATTAGATTTAGAGATTGTTCTTTTAGATATACCACATCATTGTGTTGGGTTGACAGAAGAGCAATAGGCTGAAGATGTATTTCTGTAGCCTTTAGAATCAATTGTTTTGCTAGTTCAATAGTGCCTGGAGTCCAAGATGTTGTTAACTGGTTTTTAATTCTGCATTCTTCACTCAGCACCTTAAATAACAAATTATATCTCAATTTTGATATGTATTCTAAATTGAAAGAAACAATATTTCACAAATATACAAGTGCCGAAATAATTTCAAAACTATGAGAGTAAACTAAACAAAATTTCTAACTAAGTACATCATATCAAGTGTTATAATTTACATATTGAAAAATTACTTTATCTACTGGTACCACACCATGAAGACTGGCCTCAAATATGTTTGAAGGTAATTTTCGAAACCGTAACGGTAAATCTAGAATAATTGTATTATTGCTGGGACGCAAAAACACACCATAGTCTATTAACCAAATGAGCAGCCGCGTCTCCAGTGAAACGACTCCCCGAGCCCACTTGTTATTCCACATAACTGCAACATACTTATAGACGTTTATAGTAAGATATGTTTTTGTGCCACGGGTACAAAACTATAAACCACATTTAAATGAGCTTACTTGACCATGATTAAGAGTTTTTATGTTATTTTTACTTGACATGATATTGAATACATCCGCATTATCTGTTATGAACTGGTCGCTCTCATCACATTGGTCCAAAATACAAAAGAATGAAAATGGATTTGTAAAAGTTGTTATTCGAACATTCATCTTTTGTTTATCTAAATTCGGTAAAATAAACGATATATTAAGTGAAAATAGAACAGAAACGTAAGAGGTATTAAACAGGCGGGTAAGTCGAAATTAATTTCAAAAGATCGGAATTCGGATATCCTAAACGAAAAATAAAAGCAATACTTTCGCGCTGCTTATAATAGGTGTTGCTATATTCTAATTTTTAAAAAACCTCTCCTTTAATAGTATAATATTTTTATTCCTTAAATATTTTTTAAATGCAGTAAGAATTAACGTTATTCATAAAACTGTAAAGAATAAATATGAATAACATAAATATTCTACGCCATTATGAATTTTGGGTAATTTAAGAAAATAAGTTTAATCTCTGTTCCTTGATAGGTTTATTTAATAGAAGCATTATTTAAAATAAAAATATATAAAGCGCCTTATGTTATAGACTAGCACCATTCTTATAATTCTGAAAAGCAACATTATCGTACAGGCGATTAAAACTTTTTTTCAGATAATACGTGTTAATATAAAAGTGCAACAAATAAAACAAAATAAAATGATATTTCATATGCGAATTTTGCGTGAAATTGTATTTTTATGTAACAAATAATAATATCTAATTAGACTTTGTTGTATTATAACGTATGTAAGGGTCAAAAATAAAATACTGAAACTTGTATGAACAGAATAATCAGCTAGTTAAATGGAAGTTTAAGCCTTAAAATCAACTTATTTTTCATCCTCTTACGTAACATACTAAATTAGAATGTTTACGTTTCTTTTGCTGCTAAGAACATAAAAAGTCTAGGCTTAAACTTGACAACTATAAATCAATACGCATTTTTTTTATCATTTACACAATAATACCATACTTACTTGATTTGTAAATTACTGAGTTTGTAAATGTTACAAACATCGTTGAATTGCAAAATGTAATTTGGAAAGAGGAAGTTTAAGTAATCAAAAAAAGTATGTAGAATTTAAATTTATACTTTAAGCTTTTAATGGCTATATATAGGATAAACGTACATCGACCGTAAACACCGCAAGGCCTTAAAAGTTGTCTATAGTATTTCTGATGTCGTATTTCCTTATTCTCATTAAACCAATTGATACATTAATAAATTATAATAATTCTGTGAGATTAACTGGAGATGAGATACAATTTTGTCGTTCATAAAACACATCGAAAATAGCACTGATATGTCAATGATATCAAGTTTTAGAATATATACTAGCTCTTTTTCTAACAATTTCATTATTATCTCTTCTATCGCCAAACGACTTTGAAAATCTTATCAGATAAGAAGAATAGTCACAGCTTTTTTTGTTGCTTCCAAGTCTGGTTAATATTAATGTCATTATTATAATAGCAACAAATGAGGTATACAAATAAGTTATAAATTTGTTTTCTTTTGCTAAATGTTAAAGAATATCGCTATAACATTCGTAACTTTCATTCTCAGGTATGTGTTATAGGAGGAGTAGGTAGTATGGATCAGCTATGTGTTACTGATAGAAACGCTTTGTCAGCCCTTCTCACAGTTCCCACACTCAAATTCCGCTCGATCCCAGTCCCCCTCGGGCGCCCTCGCCCTATTCCCGCCTCAGCAGTGCGCCTTTCCGCTCAACTTCTCTTTACGTTGCTCTAGATGTCCTATATAAATAAGGATTTAGTAACGTTGGACACAGGTCTATCAATTAATATTAATCTTATACAGCAACGGGGTTGGCTGTGATTAAAAAGTTAATAATATAAGGTAAACCCTAGTATTTATTGTCACACTTAATTTTTGTATTAAATTGACATAACTTTAAAGACGGCGTTTAAACTTTGAACATTAATTTCGATTATTTTGATAGTTGTAACATTAATGTTACATTAAAATAGTGATTTAACTATTATATTTACTAGATATTTAGTAGCTAACGTTATGGTCTCAAGTTAATAATTAAAAAAAAATAAGATCCTTGGTATTTTCGTTTATAAATAAACATTATATTTAAAACCTAGCCTTGAGTTATGGTTTTGACTTTTGAGTATGTAAGTTCATAAGCAACTTTGTCAAATGATTTCTGATTTTCTTTATTTAGTTTGTTATATTAAACATAAATACATGTTAAAAATACGATATATGATTTGAGTTACGACATCTGAGCTAATAAAATGAAGTTTCTATCGTTTTAGCGTACTGTCACATTAAATTTATAATTCACATAAACAACAATGACTTACCAATTTCGTCAGTTAGTTATACACTGTAAATTACCTATAGATTAACAATAATGCATAATACATATGAGTTTACTAGTTTTTAACGTTAAATTATCCTTACAGTCTTACCAAACTGTGTTCTACGGAAATTTTAAAAGTCTATTCATTCTTATACCTAGATTTTCTAAGGAAAAGCTAAAAATCCGTGTAACGATGGATCTTTAGTCTGACGGTGCAAACCACTGTAAAAGTATTTCCTATGCTTATTCTACGAATTTGTATCGCCAATTAAAAAAAATGCTGTTGTTTCTTTCATAACGCTATTTATAAAAGCCTTTTATAGACTTTAAATGAACAGCGTAAAACTTAGGTACATTGTAAAGTGTCAGAATCTATCGTCATTGTTTTTAGCATATCCTGTAAATGGTGCGAGGGATTTACTTTACATAACTACACGATACGATACCTTTAGCATTTGACAAGCAACTTAGTCGAACTGCGACATAAAATTTCGACTTCGTTTATTGAATCTGAAACATTCTTAAGCAATTGAGCTGATTTAGATGAATTTTGCACATAAATAATTCATTATCAAAATAAGAAGAATTGTAAAGTACATTGTAACAAACTTCTAGTTTTTATTTCAATAATCAATTGTTTATCGTACGTTAGTTTCCTTAATCGTTTTTCATAAAACATTTAACACAGCAATATAGTACATATATAAAAAATAAACATAATTTTTTTACCTTAACTTTCATCTCCCTAAACGTTGTTTGTAAATAAAAGACAGTATCATATGGGTAACAAAATTTAGAATCAAATTTCAGACGCGTTGCTTTAATTTACATGACGGAGGAAAATGACAAATAACATATTTTAACATTTATATTAGTTCTTCCTCTCACTCAGTTTGACCAATGTGTGAATCATAAGTTTTCTACCGAATAAAAAACGCTTATTCCTTAAATACAAGTAAGGTTTCCTTTATGTAGAATCCCTTGTCTCAGTCTGACTCACCTTTTTTCGAAGTGTGTTGACATTTCGACTGTTATCATTCTTAGCACAACGTAGAGATGATTGAAAATAACATTCATAACATATTGGTTTCGACTTTGAATACATACAATGGTTATGTAGTATGTGAAACTTAGAATAGCTTTAATATAAATGCCCTTTGATCTTACGCAGTTCATTACCTCAAAAGTGTAAAAACTTTTTACTTGTCAAATCTAGTGGTTTTATATATTTTTTAATATTACTAGTAGTACGTGACTATAATTATACTTTTCGAACAACTCATTGCTTTATAATTAATTACATTTAGATTCATATGTATTACAAAAGGAATACCTTACCATGTACATTTAAATCAGTAACAAAAAGGGTAATACACAAAAATTATAACATCTTGGCAGATATAACATGTAACTAGCCATCAACACCTAACAAGCGTAAATATGTCTTAAAATGTTATCAATTACGTCACCAGTTTGATGTCGTTAGATAAATTGTCTGCTGATTACTGTATCAAATGACGACTGATTGCATGACAAAACAAATAACAACAAAACAAGAATTAATTCTCGCTTCCATAAACTGAATGATTCCGCTTAGACGGACTTAAAAGATGCTGGGTTTTGAAGGTACTTGTCGAGTATAACTAATGACTTGACAACAATACACGGGCAGAAATAAATAAGCTAACGACCTAACATACGGTCGGCAGTACATTAACGTCGCTATACCATCGCGGTGTTAGGACGGCGGGGTCGTGTAGAGGTGACAGCACGGTGCTGAGATAAGATGGCGGTGATGAGGTGATATCAGTGATGAGGAGTGGCAGCTCTCCCGACGACGGCGGCGGGCGCACGCACGGAATGCAGCGGTGCGGGGCGCGGGCGGCGGCCGTTGCTGCCGCGGCGACGATCGCTGGTGCCCGCCGCTTCGCCAGTCAGCCGCGCGCCACCCGACTAGACTGTTGTACGAGCGGCCCAACGCCCGACACCTCCGCACGCAGGTATGTCTCAAACATGACCTTCACCATACCTCGCCCGAAACCGTATCGGCGCACTCGTTGACGCCGACTGGTTTTTTCCTCGGTGGTTTCACCCGTCCAGAAATAGCCGTTGACCGTTCGGATACGAATACCTCCTCGGTGCCGACGGTTCCCGCCGATATACACTCGCCATATGAGATTCGCCGATCGCGTACCGGTCAACGCTTCTATGTCTTTATCAGTGTTACATATTTATTATTTGTCGGTGCGGTGAGGTCAGCGAGCGCGCGAGCCGATGTATGCTTTATCACGAGAGACTTAGGGTCGCTACGAGCCGACGTTACGACCTCGGCTTATGCTCTGTCTTTGCTCTGCTCTTGCGTCGTCACTATTTAATATGTACGTGTAACATATACATAAATGTACCTGCATTTACGACTTATGTCTTGCAAATTGATATGCTTCTCTGCGAAACGAGCAGTAGGTTTTTTCACAAGGTTCGACAATAGGAGTAAATAAAAATGTTACTATTAATTACGACTTATGTCATGAATACTGTTTGAAATTAACGTAAACTCAGTAGATTGATGGAATTTCAAGCCATAATCACGGTATGTCTAAGATAAAACGGTAGCCGCCGACACCGTTCACATGTCAAATAAAAATTAGCTGAGTGGTAAGTGGAGACGTGACTTACCCATATTCATGGTTGTTAACTGTTGAGTTTTCTTCACTATCAAATATTTGACGTACGTAAATTATGGTTCTCCGTGATTATCATAACGACTCATTAACACTCAGCAGATACTTGTGTGTCTATAAATTAAATTATAATATATATTAAAGTACGGCGTACTGTGGTGCGTGTAGAGTTATCGAGGGATACAACGTTCGTCCGGTGTTGTCTTCGCCAGCAACGCGTTGTGCGTGTTCAGTGGAACAGCATTCAAACATTCGAATATCATCCCTAAAGCTAAAATATAGAATCTAGAGTTGCGTGGTAATGTGTGTACTTAGTATACCCTCGACGCATCGCTCAAACAGCACTCGGCCTCGTTATATTTAATTTACGGCAAACTCGCACCAACGCTCATCACAAGTAGGAATAAAACTGCTTGACGCACCGGGAGCTCAAACTTTGTTTTGGAATCGAGGCGGGATTGAGATCCCCCGTCACCCAAGAGAGTGAAAGTTGGGGTGGGTGAGAGGCAGGGTGGTAGCATTCCCCGTAGGTCTGCAGGAGTGGTCGACCCGGCCTAATAGTAAGGATTTTCTAAATCTGCTGCTTTTTGTTCAAACCGTTGTAACGAAAAATACCGAGCCTGTAATTCAAAAGATGTTACTAGGTTAACAGAGACCCTAGTCTCTGAATGGCATATATTTTTTACTATGGGTCTATGGAATTAATATATGTAAATTTATTATTTACAATCTTCTTCGATTCTGGTATTGTTTTAGGTATGTCACTGCGCAGAGAACCTCTCTTGCTAATGTCAATGCCAATACGCCGTTAACACACCTTAAAAAATATATGGATTATAAATCTTCCTCGACAGCTTCTGTTATATTAAAAATCTGTATAAATAACTATTTCATCTCATTTCCATACCACGGTAACCTGGATTAGATAATTTAAATATTTTTATTTCAAAGTTTCTAATAAAGTTACGAATAGTTTTTCTTTCCTTAAAAATTAAAATAATAATAATAACAAATATCTTTTAAACATTAATGAAAATTAACAGTTACCATTTTAATAAGCAAAATAATAGATTGTTATTTCACAAAGTGTACGTTTCGCAAGAAAAACAATATTTAAGCAAGAATTCTTAACAATGTCGCGACGTAAGAGAAGCTAATATTTTTGGCGATATTTTTCTTAAGGAAGACTATTGAAAATATGAGGTGGATCTTATCGAACAAAGTTGAAGCGAATTCTCATAAGTGAAATTCTTGTATAAAATTTTGTAATGCATAATAAACTTTTAGCTTATACGATATTAATAAAATGAATTATTAGAAAAACACTCACAAAATTATCTATTATCGTAACCAAGTTTTAGGAGTACATCATTTTGATAGATCCTTTGATTATGTAATTCGTAGGCTTTCAAACCACAAAGGGCGGTTTAACTTTAAAGTAGCGTAGTGGAAACGGTTAACATGATTTTCATTGTAAACTACATTTTTACAATACATCAAAATTATAATCAAAATTATGACATCATGTTAGGCTAATCGTGTTATATAGGCTAATAAAGCTGATTATATTTTTTTATTTTATTTAGGCACACAAACAGAATATAATCAGGATTACATATGAGTTAGTCTAAAAATTATTTTTAGCATGATTACATTCCTAATTATGTGTACACGGCATAATCATTACAAAAAATAGTAGCAAAAGATACATTAGTTACATTCAATGATAATTAAAAAATTAAATCAAATTAAATTAATTATAATTCTGAACATAAATATATTTCTTATTAAAAGCATATTTAATTCAATATAAAAATAAACATACGAGGTAAATTTTGTATAAGTATTAAAACTCCAATAGAAAAGCTATCAATGCACGTAGGATTGGAACTTACAACCTCAGGAATATCGCGATAAAGTGATTAGAACAAGATATCGAATAATTTTTCATTCTATGCTTTCTATTTATATTTAAATTCAAATGTAACCGTAATTCACATTTAACCGATTATAAAAAAAATTAAAAATATATTGAGAATTGGAGATAAATCTTCAGCGCTGATGTTGGCAACGAAATTGACGTATCCCAATACCTCTTTGGTCTTTCAAATCAATGACTAGTAATGTATAGTTACTAAAGATTTATATATAAAGTCATAACAGATCAGAGTCTGTTGAATGTACAGGAACCTTTGATTTGAGACACGCACCGTGAATAGGGGAACGTTTTCAGCATTGAAATAATGAACTTTGAAGCATTAACAGACTGCGTGTTGGAAAATCTTAAAAAAAACTCGAAATACAGTGCAGTCTTAACGCAACTTGTAGGCATTTCATATTCATGAAAATTAACATTTCATATCATTACTAATATTCTAAATACTTATCTATTTTTAAATGTAATGTAATTATATTTTCCACATTATTAATTTATCTACCAAGTATAAAATATTTTTAAGATTAGGAAAAACCAAAGAGTATATTATCTTTATCTGTTTCTGTTTGAAATGAGAGTATGACTATTGCCAATAACCAGCTACGATGTAGGAGTAATTGTATTTGATAAGATCAACAGCAGACTTGTCCAATGTCGTGTAAGTTACTTCTTCGAAGCTGTAATTTCTGCCACGTTTATATCGTAGCGTGTTGTGTAAGAAGCGGTTACTTCGATAAAACTTTACGTTTAGCATGCTCAGCTAGAGACACGAACGACTTATTTAATTTTTTCCAAGGGTAAAACAATTGTTGACAAACATAAACTGCATGGTTTTGCATATAATTAACTTCATACGCCGTGGCCAGCTACTAGTTAGAGGATTTCCATGAAGTGGATATTTGTAATAGCTCGAAAGCGGCACCTGCATTAGATGCTTTAATAATTCGCATGTGTCGTGGTGAGATTGCTGAGCGCACCTCGGGCGGGCAGCTGCATTGCAGCTGGCGTTGCTTCTTGTTCGTTTTGCAGCAAACTACAGAATCCTTGTCTCCATGTGTGTACGTGAACGTTCAATGTCCTTATTCTAACAAGCTTCTTGCTAACATCTGACGTCCTTACATACCGATTAATTGTACTTTACAACTGGTTTCATAAAACTTATTGTGTATTACTAATTTACTGCTTATTGTTTTTTTTTTAAAACAACACGTTTGAGCTATGTTTTATATAAACTACATAGTTATTATATTTCTTTTTAACCATCCAATAAAAAAAATCAATGGGTACTTTATCAAAACCAAGGTTTTCAGAGTATCAATGTGACGTGACTATTTACTTAAGCAATAAATACGACAAATAATACTAATCAATTAACAGTATTTTACGTATTCGGGAAAATTTATTCGTAATACCTCAAATAAGTTTTCTTAAGTGAAAACTTGTGTTGGTTTTAAACCTGTAAAGTCTCACTCACGTTCTCGTAATGAAACCTACTATAGTCAAACTTCGTTACATCAGAGCTACCCTTAATACGTCAAAGGCCTCAACGAAATACTGACGTAACACGACATGGGCGAGTTGCTATAATATTCTGGACCCTATTGAAAAATATTTCGAGATATTGAAAATACATTACGCGTTTGAAAGATAATTTAGTTCTGTCCGCTAAAGTGTGATAAAATTAAGCAACACGACATAAAAAACATCACCAGCACCACAACAATAGGTGAATAGTCAGAGAATATATCATACTAATTTAAGTATAGCTACATAAAAGCCGCCTCAGGTAGTTCCACGCTCGGGCGACCCCTCATTCAGAGGCAGGGGCTATTTTCCTGCTTGTATACAAGGCCGAAGATGCGAGGTTGCCTCTTAGCTCTATATTCTCACCCACAATTAGGTCAGCAGATAGCAAACGGACTCAATTGAATGATTAATTATTACAAGTATCGTTACACTGTCGAAAAGTGATGGACATTAGAGTTCTATTTAAACCTTTATAAACACGTCATTTGAATTTTATTACTTGTTTTTGGTTAATTATTACTTGGAAAAAAAAGCATACTGACACTGTCTTTTAAAGTATTAAATATTAGTATTAGTAGGCGATAATTTTAAAATGTTCAATTTATTGTTTTTATTTATAAATAGAGTATGACAAAAAGAAGCGTAACAGTTGGCGTAAAATAAAGTTTAAAGACAATTACTTTAAAATTCGAAATCAAATTACCAAAATAAAATCGTTATCCTTAAATAAGGTACATATTTTGTTCTTTATAACAATAGTATTCTATTGCTACGATTGTAGTTAAATATTTCATTATTTGTGTATTAATCCAAACTTTAGTGGGCTGGCATATCGTTGTGTTAAATCATGTATGTACTTTGATTTGCTACGGCTTACTGGGACCGGAGTCATTCTCTTAAGATAACGTTATCAGCTATAGCCTTGCTTAGGGGATTCTATGAAGCCACATAAGACGGCTTATTACAGTCTGCGCGTGCGTACGCCTTTCTCTCTGTAACTTACTTAGTTTTAGTATTACTCGTCACAAACTTGGCGACGTGCCAATTAAAGTCATATGTCAATCATATAAATTAGACACATTTCAGGAACACTTTAATTATTATCCATCTCGTATTTATTTCGGTATAATGGACACTGGTCAGTGCTCCCATTGTTATGTTAAATGAAAATAGCGTGTACAGGAGTTTCAATTAAACAATAACGCTCCCCTGTAATATTCGCGTCACTGAAATGAAAAGAGGTCGGTCGTGTTCGCGCCATCCATCGAGCTCAGCCAACAATGAAGAGCACGGCACGTTCCCAGTGCTATATCGAACACAGCTATACACATAGCACATACTGAGGATATACAACGTGCTTTGTAGGCGGCACGTAATGTATGCGTGGTCGGTCTCGGCTTCATATCCATGTGTTGTTGACAACTCCGGCTTGACGCGGGCGTCGTATTCGATATGTCGTGACCTCACTTCTGGCTCGACATCTACAGCAACACAACATCCGAATGAACGGTCGTTTTTAATACATAAGTATGGTATTATATTATCGACATAGCACGCGGGTTGTCATCATTTGTTCTTATGACTTTTCAGCGAGTAAGTTCTGAATTAATATTAAATATTATTCAACTAATTCTCATGTAGAATCCGAGGCCACACAACACCTGACTTGATAGCAGCTGGCCGCCGGCTGGTTGCGCTTGCGCACTACGAAACCCGTTTCCAACAGGCAGACGCTTCAATATGGCGGGCTACCAGCTACATGCTTTCAAGTCGGTTGACTTGGCCATCCGCAGATACAATTTCTGTGAGGAAAAAAAACAAACTCTAAGGTTACAACATACTACACGTTCATTGCAGAAATGCATTATGTAAGAAATATGTAAAACAACGAATAGGAATTGATGAATCGATTATTGAACGAGCGCACTAAAGATCGGGTGACTGCCACGTTGATGATCGTATTTTTCCGACGTTGTGAGACTTGCGAAAAGGCAACGTTCGTAGTTGCCGGCGACACAGTTGTTTACATAGGTATATATATGTGTGATAGCGTGCTTGTTATATAGAAGCGGTCGTGTTGTACAGATACGTAGATGCGTAGGCAGCGGCAGTCGTACCACAAACCCACGGCGGCGACGGCGGACGACCCTGATAATTTGCTGCGTATACGTTAGGTACTTCAACGGCTTCTCATGCTATAACGTTCTTTTTCTTGGTTTCCGAGTATGCAATCCATTTGTTAAACATGTTAGTATTAATGCTATATTTCTATGTTTATCTGTAGTAGGTATGGTTAGAATTACAACATTAGTTTTGCTATAAAAAAACCGAGCTTGGCAACCAAAAGGAGCGTACAGTTTGTTAGCCTTTTGTTAACATGACTGCTGAGAACATCCTTTAAATTATGTTAATTGCTATTTGTGAATCTCCTCGACTGACTCGTAGAATAACATTGTTATCTATTCATAATATTCATTCCATATATGCCTGAAGTAAACTAATCAATAGTAGATTTATTTGTTGCGCATCATATCATAATATATATTCCACAAATAAGTATATAATGTTAGTGACTGTTACGGTCGCATGTTGTTTTCGTCATTGAGTCATAATGTTAATCACAGAAGTAGCTAACAAACAAGTCGTCGTGACTACTCTCGTGCACGAGCCGCCCGTCGACCGGTCAGAGTGAGTCGTCCATGACACCTAAACGAGCTAGCAGCACCTCTGCTATCTGGTCGTTCGATAAGACTCATTATCGGCTCGCCTCGCCGGGTGTTGGATGGCGCATGTCGATGTCGAGTGACTTGGGGCGAAGCCGACGTCGCTAGCACATGTTGCGGAACGTGCAGAGGAGAGCGGGGCGGAGGACGGGAGCGTCAGGGACGGCGGCGGTCGGCAGGCGTCAGCACTCCGCCGCACCAACGCACACCGGCGCGCGCACGCACACACGCGCGGCATCTACGGTCACACGACGCCCGCGCCCAAACACCGTCACCGGCCTTATCGTGGCCATCTTTAAACGAGCACACTGCACGCCAACCAAGTCGGTACGAATTCTTTCCTCTCGCTGTTGTGACGACTGTTCTCCTTTCTTTATCCTTTGCGCGTTGCTCGGCGCCCACCTTCCTCAAGGTTATGGTAATACCCGTCAGACCGGTGATATGTTGGCTAGTCGACCTCATCACATGATGAACGGACGATACTTATTCATCGTTCTTTAATTAGCGTCTTCTAATAATTATTGTTAAGCATTTTCCTATGAGACAAACTTCGTACATTTTGAATACATGACAATATATATGTCTTACATGTGATAGATAGTATTTCGATATCAGCAGAATTCAATAGATGTATCTATAATAATCTATAGCTATAATGTGTGTTCGTATGACATCTTTAGTGAGTCGTTCTTGTGACGACCATCTGTACCGTATTGATCTCGGGAGGGTGGTGTGGGTTAACATCCCAAATTCATCTCCACGGAGGCGGTGGCTTTAGATAGGCTTTCGTATTTTCGTAGCTGGAGGCTGCGATAAAGGAAACTGCCTGTATAGTCGGCCCCCAGCGTTGGGTTGGAGTGCGGTATGTCGTGTGCTATATATAGACGTGTTGGCGAAGCTCTAACTACGACCGCGCCCGCCGCCGTCACCGCCGCACCGCGCCGACGACACCGTCCGACGAAAGGTCAATTGGCGCGCAAATTATTTGCGTCGCAAAATCCCCAATGTCTCTACAATTCCGACGAACTACATATAACAACGATATCCGTACAAAGCTACTATTATTAGTCGGAGATATTTTATTTTTCTTTCAAACCGATTTCCGGTTGTGTCTGTGTGGTTGGAGTCAACCGATGTTTTATTATAATATGATAGATGGGAGGTACATAATAATATAATGAAATAGTCTGACCGGTAAAATGTTTTCATTCTTATCATACATGAGTTTATTTACCGTCGAATCCGTGAATAATTGATTACGTTCCCATTAAAGTCGTATAGCAATGAGAACTTACAGTAGGTGGCATGTTAAAATATGAGCGTTTCACAACATAATAGTGAGAACGGGATTTTACAAGAAGTGGTGAGACAGTTGGCTGTCGAGGCCGCGACGCGGAGGCGGACTCTTTGTCACAAGTATTGCTTATTTGTGCCTATGGTTAGTCACGCTTGGAATGCCTCTGCCGACTCAACAAGATACAAGAACGTATGACGTATCAGCGTTCATATACATAGGTATATACATATATATGTATAGTGCATCACGTGTAACGCCACTGATGCACAGAATTATCCTCTTAGCGGTACATTGTATTATGAAGTTGGAATTTTTACTAAGTACCATCAGGGCGGGGCTGTAAATAGAACAAGGATTGTCATATACAATGTTGATTTAATTAATTTCATTTTTTATGATTATTATAATGGACATGTCAGTGGGTAATAAACATGAAATATAGTTGAATCTCAACACCTTAAGTCATGCGTACAGTTCTTTAATTAATGATCATCATTATACGGATATCAATATATCTGGCTTGATAATGATATAATTTGAATACTTTTATAGTTTATGTGTATTTCATTTTGTATATAAATAAACACTAGTTTAACAGTGTTGAGTGACTTCCATTATCAATACTAAATAATGTAGAGTGTAGACCACCACGATACCGTAACACTTTAAAAGTGTAACACATAAAGATTATTATAGATTTTATAAAATAATGAACATAAAAAAATACTATATCCTTTCCTACGTACACATAATAACATCGTGATTTTTTACGATGTTTCATTTTAGTTAACGTATTTCAACAGTAGGCATACATAATACAAATGAAATTAAAAACAGATAATATCCATTTATGTCTAATGAAAAAAGGATTCAATTTATCTAAAAAAATATAATAAATATATCTTTTAATAATTAATGGTTAAAGTGATCCATTTCTATTGATTTTACTTTTCTTTTTTTCTTTTAAAAGTATTTTTAATCGTTAATTTACTTTTGAATATATTTTTTATATGTATCACATTAAAAATATAATTTAATGTCAAACGGAGTAATATTTAATATAATTTTTCGTATATTTAGTTTTAGTGACAAAAGTGTTTTTTAAAATGTGTTGAATGCGAAAGAGTAATTAAGTAATTAAATAAAGTTATGAAAAAATGTCGTCTTGATAGTTGTAGTGGAGATTGGTTCCTTCAAAGGAGTTTTATATATACGAACCTCTTTAAAACCTACACGGATATAAAAATATTATTGTGCAATTCAGAATCATCCATTCTTTATGGCTTAATACAAATAATTATTTTAATATAAATTAACATGTTCGGCATGCCGCTTTTGTCAACGATATTCGTTATTTCGGGTAATCAAATTTTCATTATAGCCACCACTGACTATTGGTGATTAGAATAAGACTAGTGACAACACTTATAAGCCATAGGAAATGTAGCATATGTCAACAAAGATCGGCCCCTAAAGACTTAGATTGAATAACATATCCCTAATTATTCAAAAGTTCACAAAAATTCTTCATTTCTTCAATGCGGTAATGTCACTGACAGCTGTCATAACTATCCTACTACTAGGCCGTCCTTATAATAAATTAAAGAGAGTGTTTTACAAAACGTTAACTTATTTGTCCTATACGAGCGATGGTCGCGATAAAACAGAATCGATCTTGAAAGAAACGATAGTGAAAGGATGAAGTTACAACATATTGTGATTATTTAATAACACGTGTAAGAAAACGAGACTCATAAACAAATTAGTCTAAAGATGTTTCCATTTGTCAGACCTGAAATTGTACACGTTAATTCCTGTACCTTATTGACGAATTAGTTCCGTAAAACTATGCATTTAAATAAGATTTTCGGATATATTCTTGTTATTTTAAAACTACATAATTATTTCGAAACATTAGCCAAATTGCACAAACGAAATTTCTAAAACAATATATTCTGATACAGATCAGTCCAGTTTGCCATTAATTATACGACGGTCTTAAGTATAACGTTGCATAAAACGTAATGAATCGAATGGAGCACGGAGCTGGCATCCGTCCGAAGACAGCGTGTGAACGTTGAGTACGTAAAGTATTAAGTAACACATTTTAAGTACGAAGCGGTGGTTGAGCCGGCATCTCTGCATCCCCGGGCGCTTGGCCCTTGCCGCTCTATAAATACACAGCAGGTGTGGTAAGCGAGGGGCGAGCGGCGCGCGAGGGGGGCCATCCGCCTCTGCAGCGCTCCAAACCGTTCGCAGCGGCCAACGGACCTTAGCGACGCCATATCGATTGCGAGGGCTCCCCCTGTGGCGCGCCGTCGCCTCATTGTGCTCGAGCTGGGATGCCTTCTCCGGCCGTTTCCTGCCTCTGACTTGTCAAGTTGTCTGCGTGGTCTACCCTTCCCCCCGCACCCCTCGCCTGCTCGCCCCTCGCCCTTGGTCCCAGGACGTCCGCCAGCTGCTTCAATACGAGTGCTTTACACGGCGTGTACTCAATTTTTAAGTATCACACCCTGTCACATAGTGGGTTGTTATAAACGTAGTTTTATACAGATCGCAGACACAGGTGCTCCTATAAGTTGATTAATAATTGATCTTTGATTTATTGCATAACATTGTATTGTTAACATATGGTGTTTAAAGTTACTAGATAATTCATACAACAAATAAAGTAATCAATACGTACGAATCTACAATTAGGTAGTTTATGTATAACTACTTACTGGAAGTAAAAACAAAGAAATAACAAGAGTATTTGACGGTCAAATTGAGTAGATACATAATAGATACATAAATACAACTGAGTAGATAGATACATAACTAGTAGTTTCTGCGTATAAAAAATTTTTGCTTACTTATATAAAGTAAAGACATATCTTTAAATATGAATAACATAAAATTTAATTACAATTCGATACTTTGAATTCTTTATAATTAATTCAAAACGGCTTAATAACTATTGTTGTTTAAGAAACTACTGTAGGTACTTTAATACTTATCTCATTCGGTCTTCATTAGAACAATTTTACGAGAACTGCTATATTGTCTTAAAGGAGCCCCTCGCTTTAGTTTGTATCTGTTCATAATGAATTTATAAACATGTTAGAAGTTTAAATAAAAAGATTGATTCAAAACCGATATTTACGTTACCAGAAAAATATAATATGACACATACATATGTTTCTTAAAAGTTAATATTAATAATGCTCATATATCGCAGTAAGTGATTAAAAATATTTTATCATTGTCAGGTTGAATATAAAAGCAGATAAGTTTAACAGTAGCCGGATGATACTCAGTACAACAAAAAGATTAATCCAGAGACAATTTTATATTCGCAGCTCAGGAAATTGGCTTTTTTATGTCATTTCCCATGAATTTTATTGATTATTTTCAGATTAAATCCATTTATAAATGAATAATTGGTAACGCGTTATAGATTTACAATGATATATATATTTGAATGTATAATTATTACTACTAAAATTAGTGCATACCTTTTGCCTAAAAGACATCAACGCTAACTGAGTAATCACTGCATTTCTTTATGTTTATGTTAAATTAAGAATTATTTTTTTACTTAGGGTTGTAATGCAACTATTGTAGTATATCAAACAGTCAATGATCCACAGCGTCGTAACATAATTGTAAGGTGACATCCCTAATCAATCATACGCTCATATTTCTTGCTAAAATAGAGAACTCGTTTATTAATATTTTTATAGCATGTTATGTGTACGGTAGTCATGTTCGTACATAGATCACAGAGTGTTATATAACATCGGAGCGAGTGTCCCGGAGGAGGTCGCATGCTGCGTCGATTCCCCTAGCGTTGTTCGTGGAGGATGTAACACGGGAGCAGTGAGCACCCGTCCCTCGCCCACGCGCCCTCGTCCACGCCGGCCGCCGGCCGCCGGCCGCCACCGGTTGCCGTCCGCCGCCTCTTGCCAGCCGGCCACCTCATTCAGCCGGCGACGTTCTCGCGCTCCGCACACGCGACCGTTGCTTCGCTCCTCGCACGAACGCGCGACCCCACCGGCCCCGCTACCCGCCACCCGCCACCCGCCACCCGCGCGCTCCCTTGTCTCCTCACGTTTAACCGACAACGAACATTGTTTTGTTGCAGCGGACTATGCTACAACAGATGTCCTCGCCGCAGAGCGGGCAACTCGGCGAGGTCACGCCTCTCGTGCGCCCCCTCGAAGGCCGCCTGTGCGGCGACGCATCATCTGAGGCCTCCTCGGATGCAGCGGAAGATTTTGAATTGCCACAGTGCAAAATTAAACGCAACTATAACTGCACCAAGTGTACGTTTTACACACAGAACCCACGCTACTACCTGCTGCATATGCGTGACGTTCACTTTGAAAAACTGAAGATTTATGACTGCCCTCATTGTCTTTATGCTTCGAGACATCATCAGAAATTAACGAGACACGTCAAGATGGTTCATGAAGCGGGCTCGACGAAGACAGCGGAACCCTTGCCTTCAACTTCTGAAAATACAGATCCCATTGAAAGGATGGAAGAATTACTCGAAGAAGTAGAAGAATGCGATGACATTCTCATGGAAATCGAAGAATGTAATGAAGAGTCCTTAGAGCGTAACTTTGATTCTGAGTCGTCACATCAAGGGGACTCCATATCTTCGGACCAACCTATGGATAAAAATAAATTCTTTTCTTGCAACAAATGCAATTACGTGACACATATTAGAGCAAGATATACAAAACACGTCAAGTATCATTCTATGCCAATGATAAAGTGTACCATGTGTGACTTTCGTACGCCTTACAAATGGAATTTGGATCGTCATATGAAAAATCACGGAGGGAACGGAAGCTTCTACTGTTCGATGTGTAATTTCACGGCCGATATTAGACAGAGTTTGACAGTTCACGAAATGAATCATCACACGCCGCCCGTCGGCCAGCTGAGCTCCAATCGGCGTCGGAACCGGGTGGGAGCGAGCGACGTTGAGGCGACGGATGGCAGCGCTCTCATAGTAAGAGAGGAGGAAGGAAGCGGTGACTCTCGGTCCTCACACTCTGCATCGGTGAGTGAGCGCGGGCCGCACCCAGGGCCGCAGTGATCGGTGACGTCACACTGTTATCAGTGCCAATGACCACTGACCAGTGACTGCGACCCATTAACACCCTGGTTTATACCCGTCGATATATCTCATAATATTCAACTCTATAATTAATTAAATCATCAATATCTTCATTACATATATCAGTTGTAAAAACATTTAATTAGATTATATTAACATTCCGCATAGTAGTAAACAAACAAATACGTAGTATATAATAATCATGTCCAAATTGATATATGTGTAAAACACCGTTAAATTTTTATTTTAATATGCAATTCAAAAAAATTATTTTAATTACATTTTCCATAGCTTTTTGTGGATTTGACCTATTTCAAAAAATATCAGACTGTAGAAAATTCGTTTAGTGTGTTTACGTTTTCACTACGGCTTATAAGAATTGCCTGTTTTACATTAAATATGTACGAATTGTCCTTATCGCATTGTAGTTTGCGTCTCACGAGAAAACCACACGAAAACAACCTGCCGATCACTACGCAAGATAAAGAGAAAACATTTTAATTATTGTATAGCGGAAAAAATAAGTCCGATTTTAGGAGAAAAATATTAATAACACCAAAATACATCTACCTCAACGAAATAAATACGCTTTGTCTGTCATCCATTTAGCGGATAGTTGTAGGAACATAACGTTAAATAGATGTACCTGGGAATAGCATTTTTTTTTAATTAAACGACATTACTTCGTTACAAAATTTAAAAAAATGCACCTCTATGACAAATTGAGGTCATGACCTATGTCTATATCCACATCGTCTGTCTGCCACAAATTTTTAAAGAGTTAAAGTAATAGGTTTAAAGTTTGGAGCCCAAGCATATAACAGTAAATGTTAGTTAAAAAGTACCATAAGCGTTTTCACAATAAAAATATGTACTTAGTACGATTAATTTGAATTGAGAGCATTAATTTGTAATTACTATTATTTTTTCAATAATAAATAAACCAGTTTAATCGTGGTTTTCACTATTTATCCTTTTAAAGTCGAATGGATACATCCAACGACATCTTGCGAATAACATTTTATATCAAAGATATGACTAAATGATTATAGATGCGATAAAAACAGAAACGATAAATAATACATTTCAATTGTCATAACTACAATTTGCTATAACATGTGTTAACAATTATTTGTATTATTGTTTTCAGGAATCAGGTGTTCAATACATGGAGAGAGACATCGTTTGCTGTAACAGTGATTCCAACGAAGCTTCTGCTTCAGAAACACCGACAAAAGATAATATGCATCTAAGGAAAGAATTAGAACAGCAAGCTGCTTCATCAGACGAAGGCAAAAATCCAAAACAAAGCAAAAAGATTCCAAGACCCATCCCGCAGTTAATACCCCTTAATACCTCAACTCCTACTCAAAACAAGACAAATTGTGGGGAACCACCAGCGAAAAAACTCAAAGAATCGGAAAAAACAGAAAATGTGACACCGGAAATAAGTCGAACTTCAGTAAACAACACAGTTTCTAAAGAAAACACAAAAACAAAAAAGAACGAATCATTTTTCGACAGATTAAAAGAAAGATTGCTTACGGAAACCGGTGAAGAGGGAACACTAGTATGTAAAAATTGCGGATTTGAAAGTAAATGTTTATCTGAACATTCTGTCCATGAAAAAAATTGTTCCGCACAATCAAACCGAATATCAACAAATCCTTTGCATTCAAGTTTAGGATCAACACGATGTCAAAACTGTAGACATCGATGCAAATCGAGTGCAGATCTTTACGTACATATGCAATCATGCAAAAAGGTAGATGATTCTTTAGAAAGTACAACAGAAACACACAACCAAGACAGTAGTGAAACTCCCTCCGTTAATCTTGAAAAAGAATCAGAACCACACCCTATGGAAAATGTCGTTTTTGTCTGGAATAATATTAATCAAAATAGTGACAAATTTAATACACCGTTAGACATAAGTATAAATGATGATTCCACGCTTCCAGAACAGGGAACAACTATAGAGCTAGATATAACAGATGAAAATGAGTCAATGAGTTTATCACCCAGCCAAGCGTATGGGAAAAATGTATTTAAATGCCCTCATTGCTTGTTTTGGGCATCTACAGCTTCTAGATTCCACGTACACATCGTCGGGCATCTTAATAAAAAACCGTTTGAATGTTCATTATGTAAATATAAGTCTAACTGGAGATGGGACATTACTAAACATATTAAACTCAAATCTGCTAGAGACCCTGAACACGCGGATGCTAAGGTTCTTATGACCGATGAAACGGGGAGGAGAAACTACACCAAATATAATAAATTTTTAGCAATGCCAATATTAAATGAAAATGGAAAAACTGAATTCCATTACATTGATCAAACCACTACCATAGACACAACTTTAGATGATGATTCATACGATTTAAATGAAGGTATAAACAATTCTTTAGATCTACAACCACTAAATTTACAAACGCAGCCAAACGAATTGAAATTTGAAATAGACGGTAGGATTCAAGAAACTAAGAAGCCTAAAAAATCGGTGTGGAAATGTAAAAAATGTAATTACAGGTTTGTAGACAAAATAACTATTATACAACTTCTTTTAGATTAATTTTATAATTCAATAATTCAGTGATCTGGTCTACCCCAAACTACAATATTTAACAAAACTCCATTCGAGACCCATTTTGTCAACCTGTCACTTATTGTAAAAACTCTCTCTCTCTCTCTTTCTTCAGTTTGTTATTTGATTTTTATTGATTTTAGGACATAAATATTAAAAAACACATAAATTATGGTTTTCAGAGATTCGTCGAAGGAAGCTCTGTTGGAACATGTTCGAGAACATTCGAAGCCAGAAGAAGGTGTAGAAGACAGCAAACTTCACGTAATCCCTAATAAGAAGCCGGAAAACACGCCCGATCCTGCTGACTTAGCTTACCGATGCGGCCATTGTAATCAACTATCGAACTGGAAACATGTCATACAGGTATAAACGAAAAATAAAAATATTTTTTTGCAAACAATTTATTCTAAACATATCACTGCCATAATTTGTGCTATTTCTACACTTACGCATGCATAAAATTCAGACAAATTTTATTTACATTTCAGAGACACTGTCGGTTAAAGCATGATGGAGTTATAAAAGTGATAACAACAATAAAACCGAAACCTGAGGGCAACACATCGACCCCTTCCTCCGTGAATGACCTATCTAATGATACTTGTACTAAATGCCCATACAAATCAACAGATAAGAATACGCTGTTAGCACACTTACAACAACATCAGCCGTCCTCACAATCAATATTCAAATGTTATTTCTGTCCCTTCTTTGTAAAAGATGAACACGAATTAATACAACACCTTGTTCTACATGGCATTACGGATCCAGAAGAATATATATCAAAAGCTATGGGTTGCAGATCACCTTTACCAGAAACTAATGCATCGATCAATTATAGTGGTACCAAACGTCATAAATGTACAGAGTGTCCTTACGAAACGAATAGTAAATCTCAGTTCATATATCACGAGCAGTTTCATCGACTGCCCGCTGACACTCCTTATAAATGTCAAGAGTGTAATTATAGTGTCTCAAAAAGACACTTATTACATCAACATATGAGGGTTCATGGAATTTTTGCTAAGAAAAGTGAAATGGACATTGAATTAGAAACTGCAAATTCAAATCAAGAAGACATCAAAATTGAATTTACAAATTTTGATGAAATTCCTTTCGTGTGGGTCTCTGCAAAGAATGACTTTCATAAAATGTATAAATGTCGCTATTGCTCGTACGTAAATTCACAAAAGAGCAAAATACCCAATCATGAAAAATTACACTATATATCATTTGAAAACAGTGATATAACTATGTATAAATGTCTTGAATGCAAGTTTACTTATGACACTAAAATTTGGCTAGCAGAACATTCCAAGACACATGGTGAAATATATGGTCGCATTTATTGTCAAGTTGAGCCCGACGTACCCGACGAGGAACAGATAGCAAAACTACGGAAAGTTATGGACAAAGATAAAATGAACGCACTAGATGAATTACAAAGTGATGAGAATGTTATTGATATTAATAGTACAGATAACAAAGTTCTATATTTTTGTCAAAAATGTCCCTCGAGATTCTTTTCTGAGAGCGAGTTAAAAGTTCATAATAAATTTCATGACCTGTCTTTTTCTAACAAATGCAAGAGTTGCGAATTTTCAGTACCTCAGGAAAGTGATATGGCTGCTCATAATATAAGCCATACTGACGAATACAATACAAAAACAAAAATGCTCAAATTCATTTACAAAATACATCCCATTTATAAAGTACCCAAATTGCAGCTTGTACATTGTCCAATAACTTCGGAAGTGACATGGGTTGTAGCAAATCCGGGAAGCAATGTAAATGAAAACAACACCAGGAAATCTACCGAAACAAAGCATGCACCAAAACAATACCTATGTAAAGAATGTCCTGCGAAGTTTTTCAAAAGTTCAGCCTTAAGTTATCATATGGGATTACACGGTGGAGATGGAGACCATAAATGCAAAAAATGTAGTTATTCTGTAAAGAACATTGGAAACCTTGCAAAACATGAGTTACTTCATGAAAATGAGCATAAAGTGTCAACAGTAGATTATGAATCTGGGGAGGATTTAGACTATAAAAACATCCCCCTGTCTGGAACTGACCTATTTCAAAGAAAAACTGAAGCCCAGAAAAGAGTGCTTACTGATAAAGATAAACTTGTTAAACCAAATGATCATTTTCCTCCAGTACTTCAAGCTGATCCCCAATTTGGTTATTTAATGCATGGCAATCCAGAATTTATATATCCCACCTATTTAAAGAATGGACGCCAAAAAGAGAAACGTTACAAATGCCATAAATGTCCATCGGCGTTCGAAAAGCGCGAACAATATAAAATCCACTTATCCCTTCATGGTTCAAAACAAAGGTATAAATGTGAACTTTGTGATTATTCCGTTAAATATTATGCTAATTACGTACAACATATGCGAAAACACCAAATGAATGATGAAGCTCAAGCCGAAAGAAAAAAATGTAACGGTTTTATTGAAACTGATAATGACAAATCAGAAAATAAGCTCGACGACAGCGGTGATAATATAAAACTAGCAATTAAAACAATGCCCAAAAGACCACCTAGAAGCGATTTTCAACAATTTTCAGTTAGCGATCAGCAGACACTTCGATTGTTACAGCGTAGGCGTTCTATGAATAATTCTTCTAAAGATGCTAACACATCTGACGTTTCGCCAATAAAGGACCGTAAATTGCATGTATGTCTACTCTGTCCGTATACAAACCAACGTCAGGACGCGCTTTGGAATCACTACAGAAGACACGATGAAACAGAGCGATTATGTTCTGGTAATCAAAAATGTTCATACTGCGATTTGGTCGTGGTGCAATCTCATTTCCTCCGTGAGCACTTAAAAACACATTTTAATTATCAGAAGAACTTGACTCCAGAGTGCTTCGTTGCTAACGAAAACGTTAGCTTTACAATAACCAAATTAGATGACAACGATTTGTCTAGTGATCTCAAACTAGATTCCATTAATAATCAAAGTTTACCATGTAGTGATAGTAAAATATTTGTTAAAATTAAAACTGGTGAATTATATGTTGAATAATTATAAATGAAATAAATAGAAGAAGTACCAAATTCAGATAAACTGTTGAAAATGGTTAGTCAAAATTTGTATTAAAACTCAGTAAACGAGTGTTTGCCAAAGGTTAACTTGCCATATAATTTAATAACAAATTTAATTTCTCAAAATTCCAAAAACTCTATTGTATAATATGTTGACTACTATTTATAATCTTATTCTTTTAATACAATTTTGAGATTTTGAATTATACATTTAACAATCTTTGAGAGATATGATTTGGCATATACTTTATTTTAATTCTACAAAGATACTTTATTTTAATTTTTAAAGAAATCGACTATCTCGACATGATTGTAATATAATTTTGTCTGGTATTCCTTTTAGTCTGTAGGTTGCAATATGGCTACTATAATTAAAAACCACTGTACTAGTTCCCTTGCTTTTGAGTGAGTGGATGAGTTTAATCTATTGAAATTAATCTATGGGCACATTTTAATATTTTATTTACACTGTATATACTTTTTGTATTACACAGAATAGGTATAGTTAATGAATGTGCATGTATAAATTATATATAACTATCAGATTGTTATCCATTAGTTATAACGCAATGATGCGATAGAAAAATATAAATCGGCGGTAAAATTATTGGAAATAAGTAGTCTATTCTTTAATTATTATTTAAAAGATATATGTAAGTATACGGAGGTTTTTTTATGTGATTCGTAAAAAAGTTAACAAATGCACTTAACAGAAGACGAATTTAAAAGTGATTCTTTCAAACTCAGAGCTCACAGGAAATAATAGCGATAATTTTATACTTATAAAAAATAATTAAGATTATAGTGTTGTTGAATTTGCGATAAAATTAAGATGTTTTTAATATTTTTTTATACCTATAACAAAACAAACATTTTTGTTATTCATTTTATATAATCCTGCTTTGTACTTATCAGAAAAAATAATGTGAACTAGAGTCAAGTGTATTTATATATGAATTTACTATAAGAGTTATCATTGCATAAGAACCATTATTTATGTCCTAAAGGACTCATTCCTGTTGTTGTGAGTTGTAAAATATAATTATACATTGTGATAAGCATTTGTAGTTTAAGTGTGTATACCCTTAAAGGTGGTTAAGTGAATGTAAGAAATAAAAAGAAATGATGACTTAAGCAGATTATTTATTAATTTTAAAACTAAGGTTCCCTTAACTACTAGACACGATTCCATTGTCAAATATAGTAGTACGGTCAATGGATTCAAATAGGAAAACATAATTCATATTAAAAAGTGAAGTATATTTTATTTGATACACCTGTGTATCATCATCATAAAAGATACACTAATTCTCTAAGTTAAATAAAAGCAGTCTTAACAGAATTTCCAACGATTTCCACATTCATTGCAGAGTACAAATGTAGTCATGGGTTCATCGGAACTTCTCGTTTGAAGCTGGTTGTAAGTGCAATTCTTCTTCTTGCATTTACCACATTTAAGCATCTCTGTTTTAGTACCTTGTACAGTAGCTAGTTGTGCATCGTCAATGGCTTCCTTGATGAATTTCTCCCTTAACTTTTTCATTTCATCACTCGCCATTTCTTCAGGTGTCATTTTGGCAAGGCGGGCAGCGTTAATTACACCATTTAAGAAATTCGTCCTTAATGTTGGATTTTTTGGATCTTTCAAATTAGCTACCCTTGAACGGACCCTGTTTTTGTAACGCATATCTGTATTCTTAAACTCTGCATAGATGCATTCCTCCAAATCCTCTGCCAGTTCTTCGGGAGTGGCACAAGCATTTGGGTTTTCACCATCAATTTTGAGGGCTTGTGTAAGGAGCTCCCTACATTTAAGTCTCACAGCATCCGTTGTGTTTGACTGTGGAGGAAATGACGCTGGTAATTTTTTGTCTTTCTCCCTTTCCTCTTTTTTGTCTTTGTCCTTATTAGAATCTTTCTTTGGTTTAGAAGAGCTGCCGGAATCCTTGGATGGTGTTGTCGGTGTTGACAAAAACTTTTTCCAATTTTTTATCAAAGTCTTACAAAGGGATATAACTTCTTCATCCTTGCTGGACTTCCGGAGAGCATTTACGGTCATGCCTATCCTGGTCTTTGTAAGTACGTCCAAATTGATGGCCATAGTTTGAAGTGCTTTTAACAGCTCCAAAGCTTCCTCTTGTCCCTTAAAGATAGAAAATAAGTTAAAGCAAAGGAACTTAATCTCCACATTATACATAAAACTTGAAAGTATTTTCGTGATTATCATAATTGAACTTATTACTAGTTTATTCAAACTTTCTAAAAATTCTCAAGTCAGCTATATTGTTTCACATTTTAATACAAATTATCAATTTGACCGGCGTTTCTTACATTCGAATACCATACTGTTGCTATTGTCTTTTTATTGTATTAATATCTACACATACCGTGCCATCGTCTGATGTCATCTTAGTTAATTTTTTTTGTATTTTCATAACATCTTCTTCGACACTCATTTTTTATTATAGATGACAACAAGAACTTCCCGCCTATTTGGACTAACAAATTGGGAAAAATATTGGTAAATCGACCACCATACCATGCAATCATAGACTATAAATTTTGCTCATTGACCAACGTTTTTGACAGATATCTTTCAAATGGGATTTAAACATAGTTCAGATAAAATAAGTTTTTATATAATATAAATATTGTTTACAATTAACTTTAAAGAGAAAAGTTCTTCTGACTATAAAAAATAAAAAATCTTCACGATAATAAAAAATCTTTATAGATATAAGAAAATTTAATAGCATATATTTATATTAAAGTACTAAGGATCAATAATGTAGGTTAGATTTGAGTAATTTCTTTAAATTTCAAAATATATTTTTTACATTCATAAAATATTGTAAGTTATATAGCTATCTATATTCTTTTATTTTAACTTGTATTATGGATCTGTAACGGAGACCATAGACTATATCTATCCATACACAATACACATATTATCATTATTGGATTCAACATTCATTGAAACGCTACTCGCTAATAGTAGGAATAGTTGTATCTATACGACGTATGTACATACATTGAAGAACTTTCCAAAAATAGAGAAGAGATGTTCCCTTTATTATTGGTTTACACTTGTATCAAAATCTGTAAACAGGTTGTTTTAAACAATTAGAGAAAACATAAAACAAATTAAATTTTTATTGATAATGTTTCAAGCAAAAAGATTGTTTTATTTTCGAAGAAAGGTTATAATTTCTGAGTTTATAAGTCGTTATTTTTGGTATTACTCGACAAATGCTTATATGAAAAAGACCCTTAATATGCTTTTTCAGAATTTCATTTAACAGTAATATTTACTTATTTTTATGCCAGAAAAAGAAACTAGTGACCGTCACTTGTGCAATTTGGTAAGATTAAATCAACTTCCAAACATATCAGAGGGCTCCTACGTGTAGAAGACAGGTGTTAAATCGACCAATTATTATCGTTGCGATAATGCTTACTGATTCTTAACTTGTACATTTTAAACTTCTACTTAGAATCTTTATTTATATTAATACATTTAGCGTTTTTATATTTTTATTTCTAATCGAAAAAAAATTACACTGAATAAACCCTACACATTTTTAAATGATGACATCTGTAAATTATCTGTTTAATTATATATTATTATAATAATCTGTGTAATTTATATATGTCGTGCAATTTTGACGTGACTAAAAAAATATTTCTGAAACCATTGAGTACAATTATTATATGACATTTTAGTACATACTCGAAGCCACAATTTCATAATCTACTGAACGTTAGGATTTTCAAACGATTTATTAGATGGAAATAAAAATACGTATTTAAATAAATACATCTAATCGTTTATGAAACATCCTAATTAATTTTATTTAAATTTTACATATTGAGGACAAAAATTTAAATTACAAAAATATTATTTTTTCAACGATAAGAAATGACTAACAAGATTTTTAATTACCTAAATATATTTGAATATCTTGTTATATTGGTGCGAAAAAAATATTGTTGTGCTTTTATTTCAGTATATCATGCATTATTTTTTACAATTATATACAGGGTGACTGGTGAATTACTATCGATACTTGAGGACGTGATAATTGACGATCATATATTACAAAATAAAAATTAATATAATATAAATATTAATAAACTTCTAAGTAAAGTTAACCAAAAGTTATGTAATTAATTACTCATCGTGTGAACACCCTACAGATTAGATATACACACACACGCGTGCTGATACAACACTACGCCGCCGCACGCGTCCACACTTGGAACACTTGGAACGTGTCCACACTTTATTTATTTATACGGAAATTTGGTTAAAAATTAAGTACTTATTTTTTTTACATAATTCGAATGAGAATCATGTACCGAGTATTCTCCTTAAATATTGATAGTAATTCACCAGTCACCCTGTATATCGGGACTATTCTGAAACATTCATAGCACATATGTATTATGTTCTAGCCCAAGGATTCCCCAACTGACTATCACAAACTGGGCTGGAGTTTATGATGCTATTTCTATTTGTATAAACCACAATATTCATTTTGAATACAATCTTCCATTGTATATTGAAAAAGATTAATTAATTCTCAAATACTTGATGAGTATTAATATTCTAAGACCTCATGGTACACCCTGGAACACCCTGGAACACCCTGGAACATTCGATATCAAACACATCGTTCAAATAAGAACACTAAGTATTCTTTAGACGAATAAATATTTATTCTTTACATAATTAATTTTACTATCCACTAAATCTATTAGTAATACGAAAACAAAATAAAAACTGATAAGGTGAAGTTATTGCCCGCATACGGCTACAAATAGTTACCCCGTTAAATCATTTTATTTTATCCTCTAAAGGAAAAAACCTAGATGGTCTCTGAAAGAATTCGGTACCATACGATTATTTTCCTAAACTACAAATGAGTACTTCTTTAAATTTGATTTATATACAAGCACAGCTCTCTGCTTTGTCTAAAACAGTTTCAAAGTCATGATTTTCGAAAAAACTCTGTTCTGATTTTTTGCTTAAAATATCATATCTTATGGAAAATTGCGATCGCACCATACCTCTAGGCTCTATTACCCTGCAGTTTCTATATGATTCCAGAAAAGAATGTATTCTGTTATATAAGATTTTAATTTAATAAGTCACAATTATCCTACTTTTATAAACTTTTAAACCCAATTTTAAGGAAAAATCTTAGTATATATTTAACCGGATAAAGTAATTTATAGTTTACATATTTTTCAATAATTTTTAAACTATTACAATGAAATATTCACACAAATACGCTCATCACCTATAATATGACAAACAAAAAGAAAATCGCAAATTCCGAACTCTATTGGCGTTAAATTAAAAAAAGTTAATGAAATGTCGTAAAATGTTAAATATAAAAAAATATTCACTTAATTCACATTTTCTTTGATTTAGGTCTAATGGAAGATGTACTTAGGTTTTCAAAATGATAATTCTATGTAGCCAATATTTTCTGTTTTCTTTTTGATTGTTATCTCCTTATAAGAGTTATACTTCTTCTTCTTCTACCTGGCAATTTCCCAGCTATAGCCAGGGTCAGCCTTAGATGTTGCGAATAGTTTTTGGCTATTTGTTTTTACGACCGGCCGCCTGCCTGACATCAACCCTCTTTTGGGAATCAACATTAATCAGAGATGTCTAAATACTCATAAGAGTTATACTTACAGTGTGAAAAATATTAAAAAACATAAGTAGGTATGTATTTTGTTTTTTGTTATCAATGTTAGTCATAGCTTTGTTACAAATGCCTAATAAGCTGATTAAACTATTTTCCATGAGGTTATTCCCAAGTTTAATCAATTACATAAATGTAGGCATTTACTTAGATTCGCTTTTAATAACACATTTTTTCATGGTCATAATTTTTTATCAATTATCAAATTTTTATTTTCGTAAACACATACTTTTCAAAAATTTAAAAACGTTGTGAAATAATAAAAAAAAAAAATTCAAGGAAAAATTTCTAACATGTAATTAGTCATTTGTTTTTTATTCTTTAAAATTATTCATATGAAATAATTAATAGGGAAAATATAAATATCTCTTTATTAATAATGATTAGTATAAACAAAAGTAATTACTTATAAAAAAAAAAATAATAATATCATAGAATATTCGACAGACGACTATAATTGTGTAACAACTGGGTGCATGAATTAAATAAATGCGATAAAATGTTATATTTCGTTACTTTTTTAATGTTTTCTGATTCTAGGCCTTCTAAAAACTATAAGGAGATTTAAAAAACAACAAAATAACGATTTTAGGACTCTCGAATCACAAAAGATAGAGAGGCGAAAACAAATAAATAAAATATAATACTTAAATAATTTAAAACCTTTCGATCTAATTTGAAAAGATGGAATAACTATCAAATAAATTTCATAAATAGTCGAAAATACGATACCAATAATTAAAAAAATCACTATCCCGACACCAATTGAAATGATATTTATTTTCATTAAAATTCACATATGGAAAAATATTTATAGCCAGTAGGTATAAATGATTTTCATATGAATTTCGTGTACCGTCTGTAATTATAGAAAATTATTATTTTCTATGACCACTTGCCCTTCCAAAGCACTAGGAGCTAAGCCGATATATAGCTTTAAATTGGCGAGGTCGCTACGTTCTGAGCCACTCACGCATTGCGAGATCTACAGCGCGGTCCAATTTGAACTTAAAGGTAAAACATTACTTATTTTTAATTAATTTTAATATTATTGCTACTTATATATTCCTTTAAAAACATATGTGATCTTTATTATAGTTGAAATAAGTTAAAATTAGAATAATTAACAAATATTTTGTTTAAATAAAAAAATAAATCAAAAGTCGTTTTACAGGCATTTGTATCCACACTTGTATGATCTTTAAGTAATTTCTATTTTTCTATGCAGTTACCCATTTAGTTGTAGCCTGTAGGTCACTATTTCTTGCAAATCATTTTTATGGAGAGGTCATGATCAAGTGGCTATGAATATAAGATCAGTCATTTATTTATTTTACATATTTAAGCAATCGTCAATCCGTTGATGTTACAACACGACGCGACGAACCAGTCTCTTAGAATCTTAGTTTTGATTTTGAAGAAAGGACCGTGGCCTACATTTGTTAAAAAAAACTAACGAATTCAATTTATTTATGTTTTAATCATAGCCATCGGTCAAGGGTAAAGGGGTATTAAGGTGTATATTTTTTTTATAGTTTCCAAGATGTTCTTCAAATTTTTCGCAACCATACTGGCTGTTGTCGCCTATACGGAGGCCCATTCCTATGGGGCTCCGGTGAGCGCCTGTAGGGACTTTCTGCCAAGACATCTGGATTACAAGCCCCAGCCAAATCCAGCACCATACGTCGTTAAAACCAGCACTAAGGTAATAATTGCTACAAATAAAAATTCGTTCTAAAAGCTTTGTTTAATATTTAAATTAATAACGCAAATTTTAGTAAGTTCCGAAATCCTTTCACATTCAACAGTTAAAATTTTAATGTAAGTTTTAAGAATTTTGGATGATGCAAAGACGTTATGTAACCGTATTTATTTTTTGACTAATTATATAATTGTTATGAACTGTTAAATGTGACAGTTATTAAAATTTTATTAAGATAAAAGCACAAAATAACGATTTATGATAGTTCAAATCGTAGCAGACGTACAAAAAAAAATCTTCTATTTGGAAACAAAAAAGTCATAATTACAATGATTTAATAGTTTCTGCAAATAAGAATTCATTGCATTTTTTTAATTTTATAATTCATAAAATGCGTAATAAGATCTAAGACTTTTACGAGTTTTATTCATTGAAATGAAACAACTATATTCAGATATACTACGCGATTTATTTCGTAAGATTTAAAATATATACGTAAAATGCATTGAGTTCTTATTTGCTGGTTATATACCTACACTATTTAAATTTCTTCGTTTCTTAGGTACTTAAGGCTGGTGACTCCATGCGAGTGACCGTCTCTGGTATAACACCAGCGAACTTGATCCGCGGCTTCATGCTGCAGGCGCGAGCTGGCGATGACATCGTTGGAATCTTCAAACTTGACCCCAACGACCAATTCTCCCAGCTTTTGAATTGCGGAACCTATGGCGTGAGTAAAATTAAAAGGCATTTACAATGGAAAATGCTTTTTTCCATATTTAATTCAATGTCATCAAAATTAGTTGCAAGAAATTCACTATTCCTTTTTTTATTGAAAAGTCTACAATTACACTTTCCTACACTGAAATACTTAGATATATTTTATTCAGTTATTTTAATGATTAATTTGGTCAGTTTTAATGTAAGTTAAAATAAAATTAATATATTTTCTAGCCTCAGTTCAAATTTTTTATCTATGATAGTTGTAATTTTATAGGAAGTTTAATTTTATTGTCGCAAGATCATGATACGTTAAACGGTTTAAGATTTGAAATGTTATATATCGTATAAGAAAGATGAATAATTTCAACTGATAATATTGGTGCTAATGGTGTTAACAAGTCATTGCAGTTGAAGGATCTTGTTTCTTGTGGAACTGTAAAAACATTATAATAGCATATTAATTACCTACGTACCTAAGGATAGAACAATTGCTTTTCGTTGTTCTTTTGTTTAGGCCTAGCATCTGATGTGAAGTGACGTGTAGAAAAAAACTACATTCTTACACAACTTTTATTATTTTTTGTACTACTGTACTACTTAGATTATTTTCATAATTTTTGGGTTTTTTAAATAAGTTTAATTAATTATAAATATATTTATTTTTCTTCCAATTAAAAATAAAGGGTATTAGTTTTCTTCATCAATATTTCGTCTTTACCATTTATATACATATCTATAGTACCAATTTACGTCTAATACCTTTAGGCTTTAAGAGTTGTATATCTATGTGCATTGTTTAACTTCCACTAGGAAATAGTTTAATTATAGTCTTGACCTTTTCTGTCGCAGTCGTATGAAAGGATAAAAATCAAATTCATTTATTGTTGTAAAAGACCTTCACGTTCTAAAACTCTTTATATAATCAGATTTATAATATACCTAAAATATACGTATTATTTTTAATATTTTAACTTTTTATCATATGACACGTCTAAAACGTTTAAAATATTTTTTTTAAATACGGATTTGCTATAAAATTACATATAAATATTTTAGTCGTAATTGGCATACCTTAAGTGCATTATTTAGTTTGCAAAATAACCAAAGGCCACAGAACCAATTACGTGCTAACATAAAATAATCGTTTGTCGTTTGAATTTGTCCCTCACCATTAAAGTCCTTAATAATTTTGTAGGCAATTTACTTTGGTACTTACCCTATTTTAAATATTTATCTTATATTATAATTGTACATACATTAAATACGTATTATAAACATTTCCTTATATTATAAGACAGATACATTATATTTACGCGGTTTTGTTAAATAAATGAAAAATATATATTTACTATTAATATGAGGATACGTAATTTTCGGCTACTCTACTTAATTGTATAGATAATTTTTTCTAGCAGATTTTACTAAATGTTATGAAGTATAATTTAAAATAACCTAATTTTAGTACTGAAGTAGGTCCTAGCAGAGAAGTCAAGTTAACTTCGTTTAACTATTTTTTATTAGCCATCAAAGAACTTGTTGCAAAATAATAATGGAGTGGGTTAAATCCACACTATTTCCATAAGTTAGAACGCGATTTCGTACATGATTTATCTATATTTTTTTGTAATTTCGTAACGGCTTTGACAGCATCACCAGGCGATGTTTTGTCTAAACGAACAACAAACCTATAAACATAAAAATGTTTCAGATTTTATCTTATATATTTTTATAATTAACTGTTTGATGCGAGACGTATGTTGTTAGTGCTCTGATAAGAAATAAGCCATTGCAGAATGTGTCTATGACGTCTAATTCATAATAACTGTGGCAAAATTTTGCAATCCGATTAACTATGTTACTAATAAATAGTGTCTCGAAGTTACTCATGGCACACCTCGCCTGTTGGATTACCATTTAAAAAAATATATTATTATTATAACTATAAATACTTTTATAAATATATCGAGCGGTGTTTTTCAGGATACAATCACACATAGGCTGCATGACAAGAGCCAAGACAAACAAAATCTCACTTACACCTGGACTGCTCCAGCGAACTTGAACGCTGAAATTATGGTCGGGTGAGTTGTCTTCTATATTAAAAATTTATAATAACAACTGAATTGAATGGAAACGCCTCCAGCCAACACTGTATATACTTGTATACAACACAAACAGAAGATTATCGATGGAAAAGTTTCATACTATCAACTTAAACAAACCAAATAGTTTTTGATAAAATAAGTATATAAATAATCGAAGACAATCCATATTCAAAGTGTAAGCACGTATCTGAAACACTTTGTCTATAAATATCTCCACAGTGATCAGGTATTTAATTCATTGCAGCCGATTATGATTTTTATTTGCACTCAACATATCTTTTTTCTTACAGAGCAACCATTGCCATCAACAAATCTACTTTCTGGATTGACATTGAATCTGATCCTGTTAGAATAATGCCTTGAATAAATAAATTTCTTCATAACGCGGCCTGAAGACGCCTTATTTAACTACATGTAGTATTATTTAATATTTTACATAGAAAATATGTGTATAAAATAAACAGTACTTAATAAAATTTGTTCTTTATTTCGAAACATAGAAAATAAAAAAGTACCGAAAAGTTGTAACAATTTTTTTTTTATTCTAATTGTAGCACCTAGAAAAATTGTCTTAGAGATTAGAGATCATTACAAAAAATTCGTATAAATAGGAACTAGCACTCATATTTATAGACTAGTGTTAAGGCAGCACTCGATGATTGTGCAAATAAAATGAGAAGCTTTCCTATGAATATGAGTGCAAATTTCAGAATTAAATCAAATGCATGAGACAGTGTAATTTAAATCATCTTATTTAAGCCTAATTGAAGATTCATACATCTACCTCTGAGACAAAGCAATTCCAACAAGTGGTACCACCTAATTAATCTTAACTGTATATATCTTAAGTCTCATTTATGGCAGTACATTTGACATTGTATGTGGTTCAATAACCTAGAGATTTGAATATTAAGCAATAACTTAGTATAGCAGCATCTTAAATATAAGCTAATATAATTTAAAATAATATGTCTTTGCAAATAAATATAATTTCATATTATATTGTAATACATTCAATGGGAAGAATTTGGTCATTATAAATTATTATAATAAAGCTTTAGTAGAATTTATATATAAAAATATTTATGAAAAATTTCCCTTTTGTAAAGAATTATACTTTAAATTAATGATAGTGGTTTGAGATCACACTATACTAAGTAATGTGATGACAAATAATATGTGTTTCAAAGTGCAACCTAAAATAACACCTATTTCAATATTAATATGGTTCATATGTGAAAGCTTATCTTTTATAAAAGCCTAAAATAAGTCTATTTTAGATATCACCTATGAACACTTCTCTTGAATATCTTACATAGATTTACATATATTAATATAATAGAAAACTCCTGGCTAAATATTGATTTACCCTCAATTATATTATTGAACAATAAGTCACATTTATAATGTCACAGAATTTAGTTTTTTATTCAAGATTAAATCGGGCAAAACCAAATTAGCAATCAGTTTTTATTTCATAATACATATTCAGTATATACTTATCAAATTTACAGTCATTCACTACAATAGTAAAAAATGGAAGATTATTATGGAGTGTCTACACAGAAATATTAAGTTAGAAATCTAATTTACAAAATTGTCTTCTACATACAATTCCTTAATCAAAGAAATATTTCGAGTGTATCAGATAAATGGACGAGCAATTTGTATAATAGTATGATATGTAACATTTTAAATGTTAGTGATATTTATCATGTAAATTTTCTTTTGTCAGACGTCTCTTAAACTTGGCATTGTTGTGCAAACGAAACATTCAACATTCGGTTATACTAAACAAACATTAGAGCCAATACTTTCACATTTTGTGTATAAGATAAGAGCAATCACAAGACTAAATGTAAATTTTATCATGAAAATAAATATATGTATGTCTATTTTGAAATAAAAACATCTATTTCAATACCTTGGCAACGGCTGCAGTTTATACAGCCTTCTTTGGCATTCACACATTAAATAATATAATAAATTCTCACCTTGTTTATACTTCATAATTTGAAATCAGACAAGACAGTTTAGTCTTAATTCTGATAGCTGTTAAAACATTACTGAATGAGATATTTAAATTCATAATAAATAAGAATACACAAATGAAAGATGTAAAATCTATCATTTGGTGAGAACTAAATGCATTAAAATTTTGTCTTATATGAATAATCACAGTTAATACTGAACTCATAGCAATTAATGAGAAAATAACATGTTGAGAGTATATCATTGTTTCTGAACGAAATAACTTTGTCTCTTCAGCTGTCTGTAAAGAGATATGTATTTTCCGGCAGCTGATGTTCTAGGCACTACATATTGTTTGCAGAACTGTTTAGGATCTTGTGCTCTTTCAGACAGTTCTCCACAGTCAAGAGCTCTTAGAAATGCCAGAACAAATGTGAAACAATTATGTCTTTCTTCGTGATACCTTTCTGCTTCCCATAAAGGGCTTAAGCTAACCTGAAATTAGAAAAATTTATGTAATAAATATATTTTATACATTTTCTCAAATTGTTCAGGCCATATATAAGTAAGATTACCTTTAAGAGAACACTATCCCAAATTTCATTCCACACTTCATCAAACTGCTCTAATAGAAGGCATTGGTCCCAATCTAAGGAGCGCTCGCATTCATTCCACTTTTTAGACTCCAGGTCAATGCCACTCACTCCCTCCTGACTGAACTCTATTACACATCCTTGAGAGTTAGTCACTCCTATATGTAGGTCCTTAGAATTATAATAGTCACTGAAAACAATGGCAATTTTAATTCCTTATCTATAAGGGATGTGAGTCACGGACTAACTTGAACTGTATTCTAGGGAATTTCAACTTCAGCTAACACTAACTTGAGAAAATCTCCTTGCGTAGGTTTCATTACTATGCCTCGTGGATGCTGAGAGGCTTTCACGAACGGGTAAGGTACTCTAAAACAAATTAGGCCGCTTAGCAACAAACTCTCTCCTTTGTAGTGGTGTATACACATTTAATTGATAAAAGACTTACCTAAATGGTAAAAGATTATAGTCGTATCTATCTAGTTTTTGTTGGCAAACAGGGCATTTCTCGGGTATAATAGTGCAAAAAACTTTGTGATCACAATGGTGGAAACAAAGAATACCCGGATCCATATTTTGCAAGGATTTCTTTAAAAATATAAATAGAAGAAACAAATCACACACTTGCAAAATACTCACAAACTAGTGTTAATAATTTTAAGCCAAATGAAACTGAAAAATAAGCAGTAATAAACGACTGACTAAGCAAAATTCTAATTCGAAACTACACCTATTGTTCTACCTTGAAGCCCTCTCCACATCTAGTCTTTGTGGTCTGTTCAATTATAAAGTATTTTATATTGTTCTGGTAAAACAAAACTGATAGGATATATTAAAATTTTAAAAAATCAGTACCTTTAAAACTAAAATATTTTTTAAATTTAAGTGTTACTATAATAGAATCATGTTCCTAATCGTATTTGTTCCTTTATTTTTTATTATTTAATTTTTAAACGTTGTAGCGACACATATGTTTTGAACGTTCCTTGTCTTTTTAGTATAAATTGACAGTTCTGAACAGATGACACAACGTTTATTGGTTGTAACCAAAACAACTTTGTCGCTATTGGCGCATAATATTCTGAAGAAAAAAGGCGGCAGAATTTAAAAAGTACCTGGAAACTTTGACATTATAATATAATTTACTAAAATAATGAACACTAGAATAAAGAATTTACCACCTATTCTTAGTATGTTAGAGTGTTTCTTTTATTTAAGTATATGATGTATATTTGTAAGTATACATGTATTTTTAAAAGTAAAAAAAATAAATAAAAATATGAACAAATTGTATAGCACTCGCTTGAAAATGAAGGGTTCAAAATGAATTGTTCATATTTTTTAAGTGATAAACTATATAAGATGATGAATTAAACCGCTTAAGCGTTCATTTATTACAAAATTTCTCATTATTCATCCATCTAAACAAATATACATTTGTACCCCCAAAATTTATTGCTTTAGTAATCATGTTTTTTTATTTGAATAAGGAATATTAGCAATGTTATTTCATTGTAATAAAGTATTCTAAAATTTGAAATCATAGATGCTATCTCTTAAGAATTTTATCAATAAAAGGGTATTGCACTGTTGACCCCGTGTATTGTTTATTGTTGCCACGGCAACGTGGGTCGGAATAACCACACCTTGGTAGAAGACGCAGTTGTATAATGTAATCATGTTAAACGTATTGGAATATTGTGTTTGTTTAAATAAAAATGTTCGGACAAAGTATATATAAAAATAAATAGGATTATAGGTAGTAAGTACAGAAAAGTAATGTTTCTTAATGAAGATTATATTACATTAGAAAGAATTAAAAGTTGTGTACTGCTCAGTTTGTACTGCAAGTCTGCAACACTTATTTTTGAATAAGAGAACATAGTTTAAATATTAATACGCATCGATAATTGTCGAGGTAACATAGCCATGCATCCATAGAAACTGTAAGTAAGACAGATAAAATGATTAAAATACAAAACAGAGGTCATTTAAAGAGTACGTGGTGGTTATTATTTGTTATACCTATCGCATCCGCCGGCTTTGCCTGCCTCAATAATCCTTGTATACACGGGATATGTATTGATGATATAAATAGGTAAGTACTTATTTTATACAGAACTAATTCTTGCCCGCGACGTCATCTGGGTAACTTTTAAAATTAGAAATGTATAGCTGACCGGGCGAACTTTATTCCTCTTTAAAGAAAGTAAATGAAAATTGAAAAGATTATGGATTTTATATATTTTTTACGATTGCATGTAATGTCTTTGTATGTAGTTGTTCTTGAGTTATAAATAGTATAACTAACATGATTTTCTTTTATATAATATATAAATAAAAAAATGTCTAAAAGGTGTCTATGTATACTAATGTCATAATATTATAGTTTTAGCACATATTTATGTTATTGTATTGATGGATACACGGGTGTTCAATGTCAAACGAATTGGGATGAATGCTGGTCAAGTCCTTGCCAGAACGGTGGCACTTGTATTGATGGCGTGGCGACTTACAACTGTTCTTGCCCTGATGGCTTCATTGGTAATATAATTAATAAAATAAAGACAATTTAAATGCTAAATATTAGTTATAATATGTGTGTTTTTAATATTTTTTAAATTTATTCTATAAACAAACTAATTAAGACTAAAATATGAGCATTGAGCGTGTTAAATTGACGTCTCCCCGGGTAATAAAATTAATAATGCGTTTAATAGCATGACATATCAACGACTTTCAGACGATGTGAGCTATAATGCTATTGAACCGTAATGTTGTCATTATGTCCTTTTCGTAATAGCCTAGGCTCGCCTTGGTTTCTATAACTTTTTGGGCAATTCACCCAAGTACATATATACATAATAAGCAATTTTCACTTATAATATATTCTATACATACTTATATTTCTTCTAAGGCGATAATTGTGAGACAAACTACAACGAATGCGATTCAAACCCGTGCTACAACAATGGTACATGCATTGATATGACTAATGAGTACGTATGTCACTGTATACCCGGCTTTTCCGGAGATCATTGTGAGTTAGATGTAGCAGTTTGCAATTCAACGGGAGAAATCAGATGTCATAACGGCGGCGAATGTATTGAGGGTCCCGGGTTCAAATTTTATTGCAAATGTTCCGCTGGTGAGTACATTTTTATTTTTAATATTTTCGTTTAATATAGAGGTGTTATAAATAAATATTTTTCCTCAGGATGGACCGGACAAAAATGTGAGGACCAGATCGATGAATGTGAATCGAATCCGTGTAGGAATGGTGGCATATGCATCGACGCTCATGCAGATTACATGTGCGCCTGCACATACGGTATAAATAATTTATTTATTTCATCCTTTGTCCGAGTCGGTTTAATTTTCATATTTGTATTTGTGCCTTTACCGTAGTTTTTTAGTCGACTGCAATAACAGTACACATATGTATTACACAATGAGTAATATTATGGTTAAAGAGAAATTAAAATAATAAACACTACAATAAATTTTGAAATTAATTCATGTTAGAGATCTAATTCGAAATTAATAACAATTTACATTCACTTCTAAAGTCAAACCTACTACAAAATAATTATTGCAAGTTTATTGTTTATATTTACTTAGGTATTTATATACAATGTATCTTCCATATCGCGCTTATCATTTATGTATTATCACACACAGTTTTCAGGCAAACTGAATAATTAGAATAGGTTAATGACTTATAAGAGGTACTTTCTTGTAGGTTACACTGGTAAAAGCTGCGAGGTGGCAATAGAATTTTGCTCCCAAGACTCCTGCAGTGACAAGGCTTTATGTGTTTTGGAGGACGGGCTGCGAGTGTGTTACTGTGTGCCCGACTATCACGGGGAACGATGTGAACTGCAGTATGACGAGTGCGCGCTAGGACCAAGGTTAGCTGATTGAACAATGATTAAACTATAATAAGTCCGTAATAAAATATAACTATGTAATACAAGTTGTATTCTAACGTAATACAGCTGCTCAATTAGCTACGAGTCCTAACTCTTCATTTATAACTTTAACTTTATATCATTTTGAGTCCTAACTCAAAATGATATAAAGTTCTGTATCAGAATGCGAAATCGATTTTGTAACTTAGCTAGCTAAATATAAATTTAAGTTTACCTACATGTTTAAGGATATTAATTTGTAACTTCTTCTATTGATTTACGATTATTTAGGAGTTCTTTGTTAATATGAAGGGAATTCTTCAAATTTCCACAGATGCCTGAACGGCGGGACGTGTATTGACGGCGTTGATAATTTCACATGCTCATGCCCACCAAGACTTACAGGATCTCTTTGCGAGTGTCTTATTTTGGATGACGGAAATTATGATTGTGAATATATTCGTCCAACTCTTCTACCAGACCATACTACAGCTACTCCTTCCTACACTGATATCGTAATAATAGACACAAGTACTGTGGAATCGAAATATAATACAAGCACCACCACTAGCCTCAGTACTATCGATAGCGGCGCTACTATTGATATTACTACTACAGAAATACAAATATATACGAAATTAGATAATGTTACGGACATACCAATAACAGCTTCTAGTACAGATGCAACAGTAACAGAAAGTCTAAGAACAAGCACAGAAATATATGAAACGTCAACTGATTTGTTAACTTCAACATCAAGTTCAACATCTCAATTAACAACTAAAGAGGATTCAGTTACAGAAACAGTAACAATTCTGATAGAAACGAAAGGCACTCTAGGAACTGATGATTCTAAGGTAGAAACAACAGAATGTAGTGGATCGTGTACAAAAGGAAATACTTCCACTAGTGATTTACCTACAACTATACCTTCAATAGAAACACCCGAAGTAACGGAATTAATCACTACAACAGAAATGACTAAACAAACAACAGATACAACAGTTGATTTTAAAGAAACAACAAAGCAAATGAGGTCAGATACCACGGAATATACTCATCATGCACAAGATTTGACAACAGAAAAAATGTTCACCGATAGTCCTGTTGAGACAACAGAACTTACAATAGAATCAACAAATCCAATGACAGAAATCGAAATAAATACGGCTCATAATGAAATATCAACAGTACATTCAGATTGCACTGACGTCATGTGCAATAATCACGGCAGTTGTATAAACACTCTTCATGGCGTTAGAGTAAGTATGGGAACATTTCCACAAATTCTACCCAAATCTATAGCTTATTTGGTACTTTCTTGCAGTGTCACTGTCTGTTCAATTACGAAGGAAGATTTTGTGAGACCAAAATTATTGTTAATTCTGCCGCGTTTGATGGCACTTCTTATATAGCGCATCATATAAAAAATTCTACTAGTATTTCCATAACATTCAAAGCTAAAACTCTTATCCTTGATGGAGAAGTTATGTACGTGGATATAGCTAAAGGCGCTTACATGAAATTATATATGAATTCTGGTTTATTGAGATTCGAATTCTCCTGTGGCTATCAGACAATGCTGTTAAGCGAACTTAAAACTCACGTTAACAGAGGATATATCATGAAAATTGAAACAAGGTAATATAGCGAATTATGCTATAAAGATAAAATTAATGAATGGATTATTACCTAAAAGTTTTCGCCAATTTTTTTCCAGATTAGACTTATTCTTATCTGAAAATCATTGCAACGGAACCCTAAGACTTAATGATACTGTGGCTATGAGCGGAGGCCAGTTTGCAAATATTAGTTCTCCCGAGTATAATTCGATTCTCTATTTCGGGAACAAACCTTATAGAAATAACTCTAATGAGAAGTCTTTTATTGGATGTATCAAGGACTTAATTGTAAGTTTAAAAATTTTTATTTATACTCATTAATTTTTCTCCTTACAAATAAATCATATTTTTTTCATAATATGTAAGTATTTTAATACTAAATAATTGATTTTCAGTGGAATAAAATTTAACGTTTCTGTTAATGGACTCCAATTGCCTAAAAGGAATACTTTTATATTAGATGTAAATAAAACAAACGATATGTTTATACGTTTATTATATAAATAAAGCTATTAAAAATAATTACAGCATTCAATATGTTTAATTAAAATTACTGAAATACAATTAAAATGTATCACATCAGTCATCAACAAAGAATAATCAAATCTTAAAGAGTTTTTAATGTATCGAATTATATTTAAGTGTTATGTAAATATTATGTCATAGTGGATATATCACATATAATATTATACATGCTTACCTAGAGATCGCATCGTTAAGAATAAGAAAAAATTCATACTGTTTGTAATTTGTTTAACGATGCAGAGCCAGTAGTAATTGTACTGACTTTCGACTGTTTCAAATATTCCTTTTACGAATCCAGACAGATTCCAATATTGATATTGATTTATGAATTATTTACAAATAGAATTAATGAAAACTCATCCTTGTATATAACTAAATACGGTCGATTTTTGTTTGTCAGATAAACGATGAGAGACGTGAAATATTTAGCGACGCATACGAAGCGTCTGAAGTGAGGGAATGTTCTTCTTTATCTTGTTTGTCATCGCCGTGTGTGAACGGCGGTACTTGTCATGATGATGACGATACTTACTCCTGTGCTTGTGCCAATGGGTAAATATATTAACTTTCGACTGGAGATATTCTGATTCTATGATAGATATAATTAGTTTATATTGACACTGTAACACTACATACGGAGCGTTAACAATTTTTATAGTATTAACGTAGGTCATTGAATGAAAAACGGGCGACGCTTCGTACATAGTGTATGCAAACTTAGACTAAGGATACGAATAATGGGGTAAACTATAATGGCACAAAGCTATAATTATATGTAGGTATAGATGGATATTTGATATCTTAATTTTTGGTCAGCTGATTTATAGCAAAATATATAAAAAGTATTTCGAAACGATCAAGCTCTGTTTTAAAATTGAGAGTAAAGATATATGATTGTTTCTTAATTGATATTTTTAACTTTGTGTTGATATTTATGAAAATAGCGAAGTTAATTCTAGATAAAACTTAATAGTATATTCCTTACTTTACTCGTAACATTCAGGTTCAAGAGACTTGAAAAGTTTGTAATATATTTTTAGTCAAAAAAGTTGGAGCAGCCAAACTACTTTAATTAGTAAAAATTACAGTAAATCAAGGTTTTATCATTTATCACAAAACAATATTTTGTCATACTTTAAATAATCTGTTATAATTAAGTCACCACCAAAGTTTATTTGTTTAAATAACAATATAATAAAAAGAAGATTAAACTTGAGCCCAATATCAAATTAATTTTATCTTCTATGTCCTTTAGTTCTATGAGAGTTGGTATAATGCTTTCAGTTGGACGGGCCCCACTTGTAATGACTCCGTCTGTGACCACAATCCTTGTCAGTCTGGTGGAAGTTGTGTTCAACACCCTGGGAGCGGATTTCTGTGCCTTTGTCCATATGGGAAGCACGGCATATTCTGTGAATATAGTACGTTCGCTGAAATATTTATTGATTTTAAAAGAATTAATAGATAATGAATCGGTATTCTATATATTTCAGATGTGGAAATAACACGTCCGTCGTTATCGCCTATATCCCCTGGAAAGTCTTCGTACGTTATTTACCAAATGCCCCAGTCGGCAGCTAATTCAGATCGTTTTGAGATGCGTTTACGTTTTCAAACTTCCGATATGGATCAAATAGCGTTGCTCGCGTTCGTTGGACAAAGAGGGAGACATGATGCCAGGAGTCAGCATTTAGCTTTGACCTTTGTGAAGGGATATATTATGCTGACGTGGAATATGGGCGCTGGTGAGATTTATCTATAGTCATAACAAAAAAATATTGAATGCATAACTATTGTATTAAGATGGTTCCACCTTAATTTTATTTTTTGTGTATGATTAATCTGTTTTTTAAGCTTCTATATTCATACTAGCTGCACCCCGCGGTGTTACCGGCGGATTTCCGTTATTTTCAGGATTTCCGGGATGTAAAGTAGCCTATACGTTATTCCTGGACGTCAGCTTCCTGTATGCAAAATTTTATCAAAATCGGTTCAGCCGTTTGAGCGTGTAAAAGTAACAAACATACACACACACTCACAAACTTTCGCAATTATAATATTAGTAGGATTATTGGTTCTATATAAGCATTTTTTTTAAGGACCTCGACGTATTTTCACGTCACGTCCTTTGGGTGCACGGCGTGGGGGACACACGGTGCGAATTTGGAGACGAGGCAGAACAGCTGGACTTGTGGTTGATGGAAGGTATAATGTATCAGGGAATGCACCAGCTCACACCAACAATATGACATTACTACCGTACATCTATATTGGTGAGTTAAAACATACAATGAAACTAATAATTTCGTCCCAAGTAGATATCGAATATGCTACATCTGTTGAATGTTATTAAGCGAATATTTGGGCATTATATTCAGGTTTTCTCAGATAAGCAAACATCAATACAACATCATAATGTGATAGGAAAATAACGAATTTTATAGAAATTTTTCCGTACTTTATGAAAATTGAGCCCAAAATATACAACGAAGTGCAATCAATCAGACAGCTCATTAACCTCACAACGAATCGATAGGGATGAGGGAGGGAGGGTGTCTGTCTGAGGGTTCAATGCCCTCGATCCAATCTAGTACACGGAGCTTATTGATTTATCCGTTATAATCAAATTTCTTAAGCGCTAATGGGTTTCCAATCAGGCGGTCACCCATCCGATGACTTCCGCGACCTGCCGCATGACCTGCCATTGCACAGCGGGTGGTCGGGGTGTGTGTTGGAGGTCACGGGTCAGTCAGGGGGGCGCGGGGTCGGCGGGCGGGGGGCGGGGCAGTGTGGGGTCACTCAGTGCACCGCCAAGTCCTGTAACGCACCCCGCGGGGTCTGTATACACTCACCCGCCACTTACGGGTATGAAAAAGATTTCGGTTCATATGTTTTATTAAGCTGCTTTTGTTATATTGTTTAGATGTTATTTATTTAAATATGTTAAAAATGCATAAATATTGATTATTTCGATTAAATTAATTCACGTCAGTTATTCTGTACTTAAACTTGGAAACATAGTCAAAAATTTATAATAACTTTATTAAAACTATGATTTAATTATTGCTATATCTAACACTTATAATATATATGGAAAAAAACAATAAAACATATCAATTTGTTATAATAATCGTTGTATAGATGCATCTGCAATGAAGGCTGGTTCGGTGCGACGTGCGCCAGCCCTCACAGTCCGTGTGATCGATCGCACTCCCGCTGCCAGGGCGCCTGTGTCATTACACTCACTGACGCACACTGTGACTGCCCTTACGGCAAGTCTGGACCTCGCTGTGATCAAGGTTTGACACACACACACACACACACACACATAGACTGACACACAAAAAAAATACATGTCATCAGCCTATCAGAGCCCACTACTGAGCAAGGCCTCTTCCTCACATGGAGAAGGTTTGAGCATTAATCACCACGCTTGCTCACGACGGGTTGGTGATTTCAAACTTATAATTGTGAAACTATAAGTCCAGGTTTCCTCACGATGTTTTCCTTCACCGTATGTCAGTGATGCCTAAATACTCTCAGAAAGTACATATGACTCTGAAAAATCACATAAAACAATACGTAAAATGAATGTAATCTATCTATTCCATATTTCAGAGTTAATACCAATCGATGTTCTATTCACCGGCGCTAGATCCTATCTGAAGCTAAAAGCGAGATCTATTTCTAGCGTTAGCTTAGCTCTGGAAGCTGAAATCAAACCTCAGAAGGAAAGGGGATTGATTGTATTCGTTGAAACGCCGCATTTCTATACGTCGCTTTCGATTCAGGGTGGATTGTTGGAGTATAGATGGACGGGTATAGATAATGTTCTATAATCTATAGTATATTTAGGTTTGGGTACATGTTGTAGTGTATTATTATCGTAGATCATCTGTCCGGTCTGACGTCACTCGTCCGGTCGGGGGTGGTAGTGTCCGTATCACAGTGGCATGGAGTGAGGGCCGGTCGCTATGGCAACCGTCTGTATGTGTGGGTAGACGGCGCTCTTAATACGGAACCAATGCTGGCTCACGCCTACCCACACACGGCTAGTGACGCATCCATCATTATAGGCAAGGATTATAATCAATCTATTTAATACTTTAATGTGTTTATGTTAAAGACGAGTTTGTATTACACAGGTGGTATGAGAGATCTGTCCGAACTACCGTTCGACGTTATGTCCGGACCGCCTGAATCATATAGCGGCTGCTTTAGGAACTTTCATCTGAATAATATATTGTTGCCGCTCGAACAACAAAATATAGAAGGTAATTAATATTAAAATTTTATGTAGGAAAAATCTAAATATACAGGGTGACTGGTGAATTACTATCAATATTTAAGGAGAATACTCGGTACATGATTCTCATTCGAATTATGTAAAAAAAATAGGCACTTAATTTTTGACAAAATTTCCGTATAAATAAATAAAGTGTTGACACGTTCCAAGTGTTCCAAGTGTGGACGCGTGCGGCGGCGTGCTGATACAACTCTACGCCACCACCACGCGTATGTGTGTGTGTGTGTGTGTATACCTAATCTGTAGGGTGTTCACACGCTGCGTAATTAATTACATAACTTTTGGTTAACTTTACTTAGAAGTTTATTAATATTTATGTCATATTAATTTTTATTTTGTCATATATGATCGTCAAATATCACGTCCTCAAGTATCGATAGTAATTCACCAGTCACCCTGTATAGTGAAAAAATCATTGACACGACCGGGAATCGATCCTGCACTCTCCGGTTTATTTATTGCATTTCTGTTTAATTTAAGTATATTTCGTACCTAAATAAGCCTTTTATGTTAAAAATATGATAATATGAAAGTCATACCTATCTTTATCAGTTTTTAATATTCTTCTATGTACACATAAAAAATTAAATTGTTGTTTTCGTTCTGTAACTAAGTAATATCAACTATTGAAACTAGGTCCAAGCAACTAGGTCTTATAGCAAAATAATAAGACAGAGTTCTCCCAGGCTAAAAGCTTCTTAAATAAGAAAAATAGTATATTTACACTGCTATTACGAATTCTTTGTTTAGTATCTCAATGTCTGATTATTCGTCCGATGTATTCGGGCACTTAAGGATATTAAACTGTGTTTGCAAACAATGAAGTACCTACTTATATTTTTACTGACATTTTGATCGATGGCATTTATGAGTCAGTACATTCACAACTTTTATTTTGTTTTCTGAATTCGTTGATTTTTTTTAATAATATGTATGTATTAGACGTTATAACGTTTTGTAAAAATCAAGGACAATTTTCTTTGAAGTATTTTTCAATCCTTTCAGTTGTCATTTTATTATATAAATTTATTTAAGTGGACTTTTACATAGGTCATAGAAGTATGTATACACTTATCGTTAAAAAAAAATAAGCATTCCTCGATTTAGATATACAATTTTAGACTTCTTGGACAACTGAAAATACTTATTGAAATTGAAACTTATTTTAGAAAGAAATTTAATAAATAGAGTCAAAATACTTTGCATATAATATGTATACTTTTTTTTGTCATAAAAAAATAGATACTTGTTGATTGAAAATACGATTTAAATTGCTATGAAACTAATTACTTAATTTTACACGTTCTAATTATGAGGTAGAGAGGTTTGTATAGGCTTGTGTTCAGAACACTTCTCTCGCTCGCCGACCTATTGTTACTAGAGTGGCGAAATCTATGTGATTAACTTCATACCATTTAACATAAGCAATTTAAAAAAATTCCATATATTAAAGATGTAAGAATTATTACAGACAAAAACCCGATACTGAAACATGTTTATTACGTCTTATTTGATAGTTTTTATGATTCTCAACCTACTTAAATGGATAAAGAAAATATTAGGCAAATCACTGAAACTTAAATATTTTTTCTGGTATTATATTTGTCATCTTTTCTTGGCCTTTTGGTTAAGATCAAAGTGTAGTATCTGGTATTATATTTGTATATTATTACTGTGTTTCTAGAGGGTCAGAACGTGTTGGCGTGCGAGGGCTCTAGTTGCGGCGCTCGCTGTAGACGGGCGGCGTGTTCCCGCGACACGTGCGCGGGGACGTGCCGCCGCGGACGGTGTGTGTGTCCGGCGGGACGGGCGGGGGTCACATGCAGGGAACGTCAGTAGAACAATATGCGTTCAGAAATACATATTCTAACTAGAATCATTCACTACTGCTATGACATTTAACATTATACTCACTATATACCACCTTGTTCCAAATTTAAATATATATATGAAGCTTTCAAAAATACACATTCTAATTCAACTCTTGATATATACGTCTCGAATATTCGTTACATTTAAACATTAAATTCTTGTTTTTATGCTATGACATTATATTCACCATATACTATAAGGTTCCAAATTTAAATATATGAAAGATCATTATTAGCGAGTTGACAAATTGACTCTTAATATAAATAAATATCCTTACCTGGAACTGAATTACTCATAAGAATACAAGGAAGATATATGTTTAATCTTTAACATTATAAAATATGTCGTTTTATAAAGAAAAGTCCCATAAAAGATTAAGAATTTACTAAATAAATAACGAATGATTTACAACAGACATAAACATAACAATACCTCAATTCGGAGGGGACGCAATGTTGACACTCAGTGGGAGCGATCGTCGAGAACAATTAATTGAAGCGTCGCCCACTCGAATAAAACTGAACTTCAACACCGCCGACCCGAACGGGCTCATACTTTGGATCAATACGGTATTATAGAACAATATTAATTATAACATTTAATTTCATCCATGATTTTCATACTAACTCAGCTCTATAGTAGCGTAAACAATAAATTTCATATAAATCAGTTATAGTTTTTGCCTCTTTAGAAACAGTAGTTACACTTCATTTTATGATTGCCATTTAAAAATAATGTTTAAATAATTATTATGTACTTCTAATTGTATTTGAAAATTATACTGATACTAGCTGCGCCCCGCCGTCTTACCCGCGGATTTCCGGGTTGTAAAGTAGCCTATGTGTTATTCCTGGACGTCAGCTTCCTGTATACAAAATTTTATCAAAATCGGTTCAGCCATGAGCGTGAAGGTGTAACAAACATACACACACACTCACAAACTTTCGCAATTATAATGTTAGTAAAATTAAATTAAATAAACAGTGTATCATCAGTAACAAAGTTTCTTTGACAGGGTATAGACTATTTCGGCGTTGGTCTCGAGAACGGATATATTAAACTTAGTTGGTCTGTACATTGTAACAATTCAAGTGGTCAAACTACGAAAGACTATTTTCCGTTACCACCAAAACTAACTTCAACATTGGTCAGTGCGGGCTTCATGGCGGATGGAGAGTGGCATTCGATAGCATTGACACTAAGACATAATATATCTTTATCTATCGACGAAAAGTTATTCGTTGATCAAGAATGCTATCAAATTGAAGACAATGATGACACTGAATTGTTTATAGGTAAAGTTTTAATTCGGAAATCGTGTATTTCCTAATTACCTACTGCAGATTACTAAAATTTTTTATGATTTCTGTTTACAGGTGGCGTATCCGAGGAAGATGTTATCGCAAAACAATTATATCCCCAAAATTTTAAAGGTTGCATCGACAAAATATCAACGAAAACCGATTTTTATTTGACCAACTATTCCGAAATGCACAGTGAGAATTTAAAATCATGTCTATTGTTCCCAATAGTTGGGACGTAATAATTATACTTTGTTATTTTTTATCTGTGCACTTTTGGATGATATAAAATCTTTATAGATTCATGTTGAACGAAATAAAAAAAATGTATTTGAGGTAATTTTGTTGTATTTTGATGAGTAACGTCTGTGTGTTGCAATAATCGTGTTCTAGTTAAGTATGTGGGTAGTTTTAAGTGAAAACAATACTCAACAGTACAAAACTTTTCTAGTCTAACTTAGTGGTATTTCTTGATATGTTAACTTTTTTATATATTGTAATGGCAACCCTTAACAAAAATAAATTGACTTAAAACTTAAGAATATTGTTTGATAAAAAAAGGTTGATTGCATTGTTGTCACATTAGATCTGTGGTTAATTGAAAGAAAATTAAACATTATTCGTACACAAAATATAATTTTATTGATATATCCATGTTTAATAAATTGTATACATAACATCATCAAATATTATATTATAAACATATACATTTCGTTATACGTTACTAGTTCAAACAAATACAATATGAGATGCTATCTCCATTAATATGTATTATTTAAAAAAAAATGTTTTTAGTGTCAACACAGTGTCATCGGCGTACATTTTAGTGCCAGCCCCTTGGAGCTAAACAACACTGCATCTATTTACATTCCCACATTAAAGCAACATGTACATTAATTCATAGCGTTCATTAGGCCTATTTACAAAGTGGAATACATAGTTGGAATGCAAGTCTGTAGTACATAGTTTCGACTGGTTCATACAACATAGGAACATCGATTCCTTTAATTCACATCGCTCCATCGTTTATATAGAATATAATTATATATCTAAAAAAAAACACTAAATATTATATTAAGAGATAAAATAAATAAATTGACAAATTGCACAATATTATTATAAAATTTTTCGAAAATTAACCATTCATTTAGTACATCATAGAGTAAGCTGTGCTTACAGTGATAAAAATTCACATTGGCACAAATCAATACATCAGCCATAGTGTCGGGAGACGGTAAACAAAAACTAGGAATGTTTCAGACAACTTCTATATATTATATATTCATAGAAAGGAAGAGGACAAGATGATCACAGAATATTATTACTAATTACGACATTTAAGCTTAAATTCGTGCTACATAAGACACATGTCAATGTCAACACATGAATTACATCGACGGTTCAGCTGGCAACATTGAATGCGTTAGGGCCTATGTAATAATAACATTCAATTAAATTACAATTATATATGACATCATTCCACAACATTTATAGTGAACAATGACACTTAGACATCAATATAATCCCATATGCACTTTACTATAATTCGTATTGAATACAATCAAAAAAGATACCTCTATTATCTATAGGAAATTAATTTATGTATAAAATATAATTAGAAAGTTATCAGTTAAAAATTTCCCTAATATATTGATTAATTAAAATAACAAACACCGATTTGGGATGTTACTACTATATTTTTTTTTTATTTTATTTTTTGGAACACGGTTCCTTATCGATACATGGGGTGGTAACAATCTCAATAAATTTATAATCTCTAAATTTATAAACAATTCATTACATATTACATTATGTCATCAATTAAAAGTCATGTTCTATTATAATAAAAACGAATTAAATCACTACATTTAATAAAACCGGAAGGTACACGATACATCAAGTGACAGCACTAGGAGTATACAAAATGGCGTCGTGTGAGGGCGACATCTGGCGTCCCTCTACGTATAGGTTCATGATGATATCTTACAAAATTGTCAAAACAGCATTAAAAATCAATGATAGACAGCGTTTAATAAAATCATTAAATTTTAAAATCAGTCTCATTCGCATAAGGAAGTGATCACAGCACACACACTGGAAACTCGTTGCAGAGCGAGGGGCCATGTCCCTCTCAACTGAATATTAATATTAGAGCACCTTGATTGCTAACTTGCTATACTTAAATATGACAAAAACATGCAACAGAACTATTAATTTTATTTTTAAAATAGATTTACAAAATGCATAAAAGCATACGAAAATAAGAATCGCTAGAATGTATAGGAAGTACACTTGGTATGGTTGAAGTGACATCGCATCATTTGGACTAATCATTACATCACCTTATAAACATTAATTTAATTAAAGAAATGAAAGTCAACAGAACAGACTAGAAGATCTCAGAAGATTTACATTATACGTTTATTCACAAGTTTGTAACACTTCCTAAAACACATTTTCATCTCAGAATGGCAGCTATCATTATATTAAACGTTTAAAAAATATATATTAAATAAAATTATAGAAATTTATATAGGCCGCAAGGTGGCCGTCCGTTACGATACATAAACGATGAAAAACGTTATCAATATAGACACCTGTTAATATACCGTCCGTCATCACATAACGGCGGCTGGCGTTCGGTTTAGAATCATATTATCTACTATATACATATAAATATATTACGTACCTCATCCTATGTCGATCACAACGAAAGCAGAGGATATACATGTCTTACTAAGAGACGGGGGTCCGGGTCTTAAGTTAAGCTCGGTAGAATAGGAGACGCGGGAGGTTCACGACTACGGAGACAGGGTAGGGCCGCACTACAGGCGGGGCAGCGTGCGTCACGGGCGAGGCTCCACCAGGCGCTGGAGCAGCACGGCCACCAGCACCGCCACCAGCAGGAACCCGCCCGCCATCATGAGCGCCGCGTGACTCGCGGACAGCGGACGAGACGGACGGACACGCCGCGCACGACCCGCCGGCGGTGACACCACCACCTTACTGCACGGAGACCACGCGCTGCACAGCCCGCCGCGGGTCGCGCACACCCGCACCTGGTACTCCACGTTATACTCCAACTCCTCCATTTGGAACTGCGACGCGTCGCCTGTGTAAACCTTTAATAGGATAACGTTCTCATTAGATGACGTCCTTAATTTTAATTTAATTGCTATATTTATAGTCTCAAATGCAGTTATGTTTCGGTTACTGTTGAATATAAGTAAATTTTATAATCTATTTTAATTCGCAATATATTGTTAATTTGTGTGTCAAGTCTTATCATAGCTATGTCGGTTGAAGATTGATTAAATATACGGAGGTCTTTAAAAAAGGGTTTTATTTCATCTAAGTATTTTAACAGTTACCTCTTTAAAGACAGCGTCCTTGCCGCGCGCGCTCTGCAGCACGTAGTCGGCGTCGTCGACCGGCTCCCAAGCGACGAGCGCGGCCCGCGGGGTGACCAGCGTGACGGAGGGCGCGGGGGGCGCGGCGGGGGGCGCGGCGGCCGTGCGCGCGGTCAGCAGCGGGGACCACACGCCGCGCCCGCCCCGCTCGTCGCTGGCTCGTATCCGGAACGTGTAGGTGGTCGCCTCACGCAACTTCTTCACCTTACAGGAATGAGCGTAGCCGCGGTACACCGGACGGAACTCCCGGGCGTCTGGAGCTCGCATCTCCACGCAGTACTGTGTCCCCTCCCGACCGGCCCACTCCAGTCGCAGGTGGTTGTGCGCGGCCTGAGCGAACTTCACTACCGGTGGTGCTGGTGGCCGCGGTCGAGTAGAGGCGAGCGTCTCCTCCGACCAATCTCCGAGTCCGAGTTCGTTGACCGCTGCCACTCTCACTCGATACACAGTGTCTGGCTCGAGGCCCTCCACGAGCCTCTCCGGAACGGGTCCTTCTGTATCGAACTCGGTATCGTCTACTTCCACGCGATATTTTAGAATGTCCGCACCGTGATTGGCCGGGACTCGCCAGTGTAATTTCAGAGAATCACAGGTTCCTTCGTGTCGAACCCCAGTTGGCGCCGCGGGAACCGCACGAGGGGTGAGTGCGGTGTTGACCGCTGAGCGAGGGCCTTTCCCGGCCGAATTCGTAGCTCTTACCCTAAAGAAGTAGGGCGTGAAAGGAGTCAGTTTCCCTATCGAACAGACGGTGTCCAGTCCGCGATAGACCTCGGCGAAGGCGTCGTCTACGTTGCTCGCACTCATTTCGAGACGGAAATCGATGATAGGAGCGCCGTTGTTGGCTGGAGCGGTCCACTCGACCAGAGCCGTGCGGGGGCTCTCTATACGAACGACGGGAGGTTCGGGCGCGTCGGGAGGTGCGGGCTGTGTGGTGAACCTCAGAGCTGGGGACGGAGGTCCGGCACCGACCCTGTTGCATGCCGTCACCCACGCTCGGTATTCTCGGCCGGGAAGTAAATCCCGAACAACACATTCAGCTTCAGGGCCCACGTGTGCCAAACGCACCAGACCATCAGTATCCGCCAGTTCGAGGCGATATTCTGTGAGTGGTGACCCTCCAGTACAGTCGGGCGCCCTCCAGCGCACGGTGGCGTGTGTGGCGCGGCTCGCTCCGCTGGTCTCCGGCGCGGGGCACGCGCTGGGACAGGTCGCCTCAGTGGTGACGGTCTCGCTAGCCGACCAGTCACTCGTGCCGGCCACGTTCGAGCACCTGACTCGCGCGTGGTACTGTGTTCCTGGTAGGAGGCGGTCACAGTGGGCCTCTCGTTCCGGTCCTTGGTAAGCGAGGCTGTATCCTTCCCCGCCGTCAATTTCTAACGTGTAAGTGTCCACAGCGGCTCCTCCGTTGTCGGCAGGAGGGTCCCACCTCAGCCGTATCGCTCGGGAGTGTATCTTCCCGCGGGGTGTGGGTCTGCTCGGCGGACAGGGTCGTTCGGGCGGCGTGGTGTAGGTGACCTCCACGGACCACGGTCCTTGACCGTCGACTGTTTCGCTCCTCAAACGAAATCTATAATCCGTCGCTCGCCTAAGTCCATCGCACACGTATGTGCAGTCCGAGCCGCTGTACACGGGTAGGAATCCGTGTCCTCTTGATACATCGTCCATCTGCAAGACGAACTCCTCGTCCGCGCGGCGCTGCCACGTCAGAGTCAATGACGTCGGCGAGGCGGCAACAAGCGTGGGTGGTCCGGGGGCGGGCGGGGGGGAGCCCGTGGTCCACACAACGGTCTCCTCGCTCCAGTCCCCGCGGCCGCACTCGTTGACGGCCGCGATCCGGAAGCGGTACCGCGTCTGAGGTTGCAAGTTATTGACGGTGTGTTGTCTGGTGCGGGGCCGGGTGAGCTCCACGAAGCCCTCCCCGGCGTCCATCTCCAGCAGGTAGTGTGTGACTCGCGCTCCGTTGTCGGTGGCGGAGGGCCAGCGTAACAACAGCGATGTTCGTGCTCTCTGTGTGACGCGCGCCGCCGGCAGTCGTTCGGGCGGCGCCGGTGGAGCGCGGAATGTAGCCGCCTCACTCGCCGCACCCGTCAACTCACCCGCACGGATTTGCAGACACACTGAGTATTCACATCCGGGTCTCAAGTCTCTTACGCTGAAAACAAAGTTTCAAAAATATTACATTTAAAAAGAAGACAATCATAGTTGATTTCAATCGATGTTATAGTCAAACAATCTTTGAAAGCATTTTGTATTTTGTGAAGGGGCAGAACTCACCGACACGATAGCGATGAACCACTGTATATAGCCTTATACCGTCCCCGGTCTCCAAGCAGGAGGTCGTAAGTGAGGTCCACATTTGGAAGAGTGACACCTTCTGGTAGAGGGGAATTCCATTGCACGAGAGCACTTGTTGGAGTCACGTCACTAACCTATCAAAATAAAAAAAAACAATTGCATTATATTCTCAAAAAAAATGTATAAATCACCATCTAATACCAAACAACATTAGATTTGCTTGATGAAATTGAGATTACCAAAACTTAATAGCATCAGGAGATCCAAGAACATTTATTCTGATTCTCTATATCAGTAAATGTAGAGAAATTATATAAAATATACTAAACCCTAACTTACTTGCGGTGTTCGGGTAGCAGACACAAGATCTAGCAGTGCCTGTGTATCATTCTCATCATCACCCTGTATTGAGGCGCCCGCTGACGAGCCTTCACCCTCAGACCAAGCACCAGATGATGCTCCCCCACTCCCACTACCACCACGACCATTTGACTCTTTCCTTGGTGATAATGACGGCGTGCTCGCACCAGAATTTACTTCTGACAAGTTATAATAGACTTATAAATCTAAAGGTTTAATAAATGTGTGTATATGTATCTCTGTTAGATATTCTTTTAAAACTAAACAATAACTTTTATAGAGCTATATAGATTGGACGAAGATGCTTGAAAAAAAATAATTTTGTTTATTAACATGTCAGTTTTGTAAATTATGAATAATTATAATCATTTTATTTTGTTAAATAGTTAAGGAGTGAAATATTTTTATTCATATTTATCTTGTTATGCTATAGAGATGTTTTGTACTTTTGTAAGAATTTATAGAATAATCTTGGATATGAATTTATCTCATAAGATATATGTAATATGATGTATCATGTCCAATATGAAAACAGTTTCCAAAAAAAATCCATCAAGAGATTTGTCATGTTCACAAAGTTATTATTTATTGATAGTTTGTATTAAACTTAACAGATTATTTAAGTTTATGATACAATAGTAAAAAAAGAGAAGTACAAACACTGTTAAACAGTGATAAATAAGAATAGTGATTCTTTGTAAGTTGAAAATTATAATTGCATAACTCTACTTGCTTTTATCCTATATAATAAAGACTTACCTATTCCATTATTCCTATTAATGTGTTTGCGTTCCAGTTTCTGTTTGAGTTTAGAGTATTGCCGCTGAGTTCTTTCATCCTTGTGGTACACTGGAGGTGGTGGTGAGTGTTGCATGTGGTGGGGTGGAACGTGATGGAAATGAGTTGGATAACCACCTCCATAGAAGTGTTGAGGACCCGCTGCACCGTTTGTTGGTCCCTAATAAAAATATATACCATATTTAAAATTTTCTTACTAGCATGAAAACTTTACAGCCAAAAGTTATATATCTTATCATTATACCTGTGTATTATCTTTATCACATTTATTTTTTATATCTTCAAATTCACTCATGCTTATAACTATTCAATTTTTAAGAAAATATGTTGCTTTGCTTAAATGCACAACACGACACTACGTACACGTCACAAGCCACGTACTATCGACACGACTGATAATACACATAATAATACAATCGCACAATCGGTTTAATACTACTGGAAAAAATCCACAGCAAGTAAAGAGTAAACAGAGATTGTGTTCACTTAAAACGGCTGTATAATTTCCTTTATACCACGTATGCTATTCAATGTTTACGAACAATACATTTTTAAATCGAAGTCTTCATTCTATAGGCAAGTTTTATTTTGGAGTGATAATTGAGAAACATAGGGTTGGATCCTTTAATCATTATATTATTTCAAAACTACAACTTATAAATACACAGTTCTTAAATTTAAAATACACGTATTTTATAAACAAACTGCGGGCGACAAGCGTTATCATAGAGTAAAAATCTGAATGCTGTCAAGCGTCAACAACTCGAACGTCATATATTATGTCAAAAATGTATAAAATTAAACATGTTCATAAACATGCATTTTAAAATGTATAGCGCATATAACAATTTTTATGTTTTGGAAAAATATTCAAGTGTTGCAAAACGTTATAACGGAAAAAAGAACTTTAAATAAATAAAAAGCAAAAAAAATAGACGTACACTTATCAGCAATATCATTTAAAGTGACTTATTAAACTAAACCATAATTAGTTTATACTAACAAAATGATGCGGTGGTTGGTGATGAGGGGGCGGTTGGTGATGGGGTGGTTGGTGGTGCGGCGGCTGGTGGTGCGCCGCGTGGTGTGGGTGCGGCTGTGCATGAGGATGCGCCACCAGGTAATGTCTCATATTCTCGTCCATCACCGGTGGTAAAAGAGGCGGCATCATAGTTGCTGATGTTACCACCGGCATTCCACCTAAAGGAATACAAACAAGTCTTCTTAATTCTAATCTCTATACAATGAATTGTTCTAATTTTTGACACATAACTCAAACCCTATATCGTTTTTTTTGACATAACATTTAGGGGATCTTGTGAAGCAAATTTATTTAAGGATCCTGATTTTTTAAATGTACCTGTATTACATCGACGGCAACATATGACATGGTCATTGCGATCAATGCAACTCAATCACAATTTAATCAGCAGTTATCTTAATACCCCAAAAGAGCCATAATGAAATTGTTCCATTCTGATATTCTGAGGACTTTTTTACGTTTTGTATAAACTTTTGGTTTATCCAATAGTTGATTGCTTTTTAGTATTTGACATCAGCGAATTTTTATGATTGACAAATGTGTACTTCTTTTCTAAGTTTCAATTTTCCAATTTTTTCAGCTTTATATTTAGTTTTCGAGGATTGCCTATTCGATTTATCAATACAATAAAAACTAACTTTGCTATTTGTTACATATGTATGTGTGTTTTTCCTTCTTTTTGGATCTTTAAGAGATGCTTATAATTTTATGGAGTTTTAAGGGACTTAATAAGCTTAAGTTCCTTTACTTCCGTCAAGTCTTCCATGGTTGGTTATTAGCAGGGAGTTTTTATTTACAAAAGCTTGTTAAAACTCGCTCACCATAGTCAGCGTGAACAGTGCACGCCATATGCGCATGCTGTGGGTGCTGAGGGTGAGGGCACATCTCCGGCATGTAGTACTGCTCCGGGGGGTAGTACTCGCCGTAGTAGCCGTCCCCGCCGCCCTCCGCTACGCCCACGCCTACCATCGCGTTGTTCAGCAGCGCATCGCTCGCCCGCGACGCATCCGTTGCGATCGCGAACCTGCTTCTCGCTTGTCAAACTGTAACAAATAATTTTCATGTGACGTGACTTCTGGCATCCAACATTAAAAAGATTTTAATCTGAGATGCCAGAAGTGATGAACAGAAAGCAGAAACTACACAAAAGAACTGGTTGGTAAATATCTACTTATCTGAAGGTAAACGAGTTGGATATGTTAGTAAAAATTTCTGACGAAATTCGTTTTTGATACATTGGTAAATAGTATATTTTTTGGTAGTTGAAGTTAAAATATTTTCATTACATACGACGTATCATATCATCAGCCAGATGATAGGAGCTTCATTCTTATGTTACAGGTGTCGTTGCCCGTTATGGTCTAATATATTCGATATGTTTGATCTGAGAAAATATCTCATGAAATGTAAGAATATGCTCCACTTATTAAATTCCTATCGTCTCGTATTGCCAAACAGTAGTCGGAAAGGCAGGCGTGGCAATATAATGTTTATAGATTCTGATGCAACAGCCATTCGCAATTGGCAGTTTATATATTTTCTAATTATTTGAGATTAAGCTACGTAAAATTCTAAGTCTATGTATGTTTTTATAATCTAAAATTGTTTTTCTAGTTGAAGTTAGATAGTGTAAGAAAAACAAAAATAAAAGAATTGTATGATTTATAATTTAAATTATCAGTCAAAAGTAAAAACAAGTAAATAATAAAAAAAAAACCTTAAAGGAAGTTCGTTATAAAATAAGTGGAACCTATTTTCTGGTGAACTAAAACCCACTTTATCAGCAACACGCATATCTACTGCTATATTTATCTATGTTATAATAAAGAAATATTATCAGGGTAAATGGAATGGATTACGCAATAGATTAGCAATATTTATGCTGTGCTTTTTCCCGCTTGCAAGAAAGAAATCGAAATGTCAAATACATTGACATATATTACTATCAAAGCAATTTAGTCGAGAACATCAATTAAAGTTAATAAAAGCGATTACGAAACACTCAATCAATACATTCTATTTGATGTTCTGCTTATGGCCAGATTAATCAATATGCTTATAAATTGTGTATTCTTACGTGTAACATATCGAAATAGTAACATATTCGTTTTATAAGTCAGTGATGGTGTTTTACATTAAATACTAATATCTTAACTTCTATGTTTATATAATTATATATATATATACGTGTTTCCAAACCGTTGTGTACTGAGGTTAACCTGTTTAAAGCTAATCTCATTAAGCGTTTCTTCATAAGTGTTGCTCATGTTGCATAAGTACGTCAAATCGATAACTATATCCGAGTGAGCGCGTCGTGACGGCATTTGCCTTTTAAATGGGGTCCTGCGGCGGCACCTCACGAATTAATATTAAGGATACTAAATGTGTCAATGATGTTGCTCATCAAATCAATCTTTAAATTTGAAAGGAATGTAATTAAAATGTTTAGACATTTATGGGTTATGACTTGTGTTGAAACGCAATCGAACGAACGTTTGTTTCAAAACATAATTAAATACTTATTAAGCTGTGATAATTATACTTCGTATTTTTGTAATAATGTGCTCGTATCGTCTTTCTGGTTTTCTTAGTCAGGTCTTTCATTCAATATTTGTGAAACATTAATATTTTTTTTCTACATAATTATGTTGAGGGGGAAATCCCTTGAAATTTTATACACCTCTAATGTTACGAGGGCGATAATCGTCAGCTTAGGTATAAGATGATTTTAAATGAACTGTGAACTTTGTGGCAGATATTAAGAACGCCAAGTATTTTATATTAAAGTACCTTTTAACATAATGGCCAACGTTATGTATGAATTATTTATAAATTTACGAGCATAATGATAACAACTTGTACTTACTGAATAAAAAATTGAATTAATTTGAAATAAAACGTAATATTGCTCCATATCCTCTTAAAACATACATTTACTTAATTATGTGATATAATAATTAATGGCATTAATCTGTGTTAATTAATTTTATAGTCCTAATTAAGGAAAAAAGTGGTTTAATCATTATATTATCTTAATAAACTAAAAATATACGATTGTTTAATATTTATTACAAAAACAATATATGTGATAAGAGTTCAACGATTCTTTTCGGTTTATCTTCAGCATAATTCAGATAAACGTTATCTTATTGATGATATTCTTACAAACATCGTTTAAACGTACATAATGATACGAAACAATTGACAGGGTTTAAAAAAAAACTACAAAGAAAAAACGATCATAACATCGATTCATTCACTTTTTACATTTAAATCGTTTTATAAAAAAAAAATTAATTGTCATAACATCGAATTACATAATAAACTTTAAAAAAAAACATGACAACTATTTACTTTATAAATTTAAATTAAGAAAAAAAATTCGATTGTCATAACAAGGAGGTTTTGACATTTAAAATAAAACCTTTTTAGAATTTAAAAAAAACTCATTCACAATGCAAGTGTTGTATTAGCGTGATGAAGACGATCAGTCATCGCTCTCGATCACGTACCATTCGTTCAATTGAATAAACGACGAGGTGACAATGGCTTGGTGCGTCGAGCGTCGGAATCATGGATGTTATTATGTAAATGTATGTTCTAGGAACGTTATAGCTCCCATTGCTACCTGAATTATATTATTATACACTGCACCAATCTTACACGGCTGCCATACATCCTTATTAAATCAATATAACACCTCACAGCTGTTCTAACAAACAAATAAAACATTTTTCTTCGTATCCTCATAATAATGTGTTAATGTATGCGCAAATTATATTGAAATTTGCAATTCAATGGAATCGCTGTCGGGTTTTTTCGAAATACCGAAAAGCACAAAAGGAAGTCATCTCAACGAGCGCTTGGAGACGTTCTGAGAATTAATTTAGATGAGCATTATGAGAGCGGCTTAACAAATAACGCCTAGATATATTATTTTATTCTTATTTTATACAATAGACGAATTGCTTGAATATATTTAAATATTAGTTTGTTTTTTATAACATTATTTACTGTATACCACATCAAAACGTTGTTATTCTTTTAAACCTTATGTTTTACTTTAGGTGAGCTTAAAATATGTTCAAATACATTTTAACGAAGAGAAAAGTTATGTTTAATTTTCTATGTGCTTTCTAATGGGATACAAATTTGAGACTTAGTGTTCGAAATTCAAATTTAGAATCAATATTTATAAATGCATTTTGACAATATAAGATAGATAAAAATAATATAATAGTTATAAAACGATAGTTTCCGTTGCGTTCAGCTGATCATACTCGTATGTGCATATTTAGTTTGCTAGTTGATAACAGTGCGTTTGATTATAACAAACAAATAGGCGCAGTTCCACTTACATTATGAATGTCCTGATTTATTTAATTCACATGTTTTACTACTCCAATAATGATTTAGTTTTTTAGCATATGAAAATATGCTACTATATTGGCTTGAGTATCCTAATTAAAATAATATAAATGTCCAAGTTCATTAACTAGTAGGTATTTTTATTAATTATTATCAGTTTTTGGACTATAAGATAAAATTGTTTTGTAATGCCAGGTCGATACAGGGCTGTACGGGGGCGTTCGCCCACTTCATTCATCTCCGGACTCGATGCTCGGAAGTTTTTTTTTTATACATTTTATTTTTAACTTTTCTATTAATACACCGTGTAATCAATTTAATCTTTAATCCAGAACATACATAATTATTATCGAGATATATAACTTTGTATATAGATATGGATTAATTGTTATTTATGTTGATATTAATGATATAAAATATTGTATAAAACAACAAATATATGACCTTTGATAGGTAATGATTGAGTAATATTTATATATGGGGCTGTATTAACATCATTCAGACAAAACTATACAACCGGAAACTTCGCGGCGTACTCTTGAACTGTGGAACCTATTCCTGGAACACAGCCAACAGAGGCCACTATGAGGTCTATTCAGTTTAGATAAAGCGAATTAGAAGGTCATATATCCTTAGTCCCGAAAATACAAATCCTCTTATAGAATATTCTATCCGAAACAAAGAAATTTAATATCCGGTTAAGCTTAAACTTTAATAAATTTAAATAATAGCGAAAAAATAGAGAGTGGAGGAAAAAATAAAATCAAAACTGAATCAAGTCTAAATAACCAGAAACTTGCGGTTACATTGGAATTTGGCATTTAAGTTATTTTTTTTATTTGAAAGGTTTGTAAAGGAGGAAAATACGATACAGAGGAAACGTGTATAAAAATAGTCAAGGTAATATAATAAATATTTAATAAGAATTAATATTACATTATTTGCTTTAAACAAACATTTTTCGTTTTTATTTTTTTTAATTTTTTTTTCCTGTATTAAGAATTTTTTTTGATTGTACCTATGTATGATAAGTGAATACTTACATAAAAACTAATGTTCTCATAAATAAATATTTTTTAAGAAAGTAATAGGTACGTATACATATAAAGTAAAGACAAAGTCCGTTCATTCGTTCATTCAGTATGATAATGCGAGTGTCATAAATAGCGTTGATAATTTCTGCATACATTACAAATACTAATAGCAACAGTATCATTTGTCCAGACGAATGAATCATTAAAATACAAAACATTTACAAACAATGTTGTATGTATGATTTACATTGTAGATTTACAGCACTAACGGTCGAACAGAGTAGGTACATCCAAAAAATTATCGTTTGTTATCTTGTTGGCCATTCGACTGAAACGTAATTTGTTCAAGTCAAAAGTATAATTCTCCACACTTACGGATAATTCGATTTTCAAATTATAAAAAAAAAAATTGTCTATACTTGCCGACTGAATACAAATGGTTAAACAAATACCCGCACGGAATTAAAGGTAATGGATCTAATACAAATAATTAGGTACAAATCATTATATAATAATTTATCATTATTTGATCGTTTTAATTTTGAGTGAACTAAAGTCGGTTTGATA